AACGAGTTTCCAGGCATGTTGTCGTCTCCACAGATGCCTCTGCCACGGGCTGGGGCGCCATGTGCAATGGACATGCAGCCGCGGGCTCCTGGACAGGACCCCAGCGCCTCATGCATGTCAATTGCCTCGAGTTGCTGGCAGTACGCCTTGCCCTGCACCGCTTCCACGCGCTGCTCCAGGTTCAACACGTACTCGTCCGCTCGGACAATACCGCGACTGTAGCGTACATCAACCGTCAGGGTGGTCTACGCTCTCGCCGTATGTCGCAACTCGCACGCCACCTCCTCTTATGGAGTCAGAAGCACCTGAGGTCCCTTCGTGCTATTTACATTCCAGGAGTACGGAACCTTGCAGCCGACGAGCTGTCACGGCTCCGGCCTACCTCTGGCGAATGGCGACTCCATCCCCAGTCGGTCCAGCTGATTTGGGACCAGTTCGGGGACGCACAGATAGATCTGTTTGCCTCCCACGACTCATCCCATTGCGCCCTGTATTACTCCCTGACCGAGGGCACGCTCGGCACGGATGCACTGGCGCACAGCTGGCCGCAGGGCCTACGCAAGTATGCGTTTCCCCCAGTGAGCCTTCTCGCACGTACTCTGTGCAAGATCAAGGAGGACGAGGAGCAGGTCATATTGGTCGCCCCATACTGGCCCACCAAGACCTGGTTCTCCGAACTGGTACTCCTCGCGACAGCACCTCCTTGGCCAATTCCTCTGAGGAAGGACCTCCTTTCTCAGAGACGGGGCACCCTATGGCACCCTCGTCCCGATCTCTGGAGACTCCACGTGTGGCTCCTGGACGGGACGAGGCAGGTTTGAGTACCCTGCCACCAGCGGTGGCGGCTACCATCACTTCCGCTAGAGCATCGTCCATGAGACATGTCTATGCGTTGAAGTGGAACCTCTTCGTCAACTGGTGCTCTTCTCGCCGAGAAGACCCCAGGAGATGCTCGATCAGCGTTGTGCTTTCTTTCCTGCAAGACGGGTTGGAGCGAAGGCTGTCTCCCTCCACCCTGAAGGTGTATGTGGCTGCTATCGCCGCATATCACGAAGCAGTTGAAGGTAAGTCTCTGGGAAAGCACGACCTGATCATCAGGTTCCTGAGAGGAGCGAGGAGACTGAATCCTCCTCGCCCTCCTCTCGTTCCCTCTTGGGACCTCTCAGTGGTCTTAAGTGCCCTGCAGAGGGCTCCCTTTAAACCTCTGCAATCAGCTGAGCTTAAGATCCTGTCAATGAAGACAGCGCTCCTGGTTGCACTGGCCTCCATCAAGAGGGTAGGGGACCTGCACGCATTCTCCGTTGACGAAGCGTGCCTGGAATTCGGGCCGGTTTACTCTCACGTGATCCTGAGACCCCGGCCTGGATATGTGCCCAAGGTTCCCACCACTCCCTTCCAGGACCAGGTGGTGAACCTGCAAGCGCTGCCCCGGGAGGAGGCAGACCCAGCCTTGGCACTGCTCTGTCCAGTACGCGCTCTCCGTGCTTACGTAGACAGGACGCAGTGTTTCAGGACCTCAGACCAGCTCTTTGTCTGTTATGGTGGGAGACTGAAGGGAAAGGCTCTCTCAAAGCAGAGGTTGTCTCACTGGATAGTGGACGCCATTGCTTTGGCTTACCAACAGCAAGGCCGACCGTGCCCCCTTGGTGTGACAGCCCACTCCACCCGGAGTGTGGCTTCCTCTTGGGCTCTAGCGCATGGCGCCTCGCTGGCAGACATCTGTAGAGCTGCAGGCTGGGCGACACCCAACACATTCGCCAGATTTTATAATCTCCGAGTGGAGCCTGTGTCCTCTCATGTACTCGCTTCATCCAGCTAGTACCGGACCCGCTCAGGTGTCTTCGCTTGCTCGCCATTCCACTCCACGGACTGGATACGTGCGATATTTCCTCAGGTAGCCTTCCCCTCTGAAGCCCTGAGTTCCTCCAGCGCTGTTGACGCTGGCGCCAGTGTCTATTGCCTGTGCGTCGGCTAGGTGCCTCCGTGTGCATGGTTCCTCCTCTGAGTAACCTCCACATGTGTATTTTCCACTGTAAGCCTCTTTGAGCATGTGTCTTTCCCTCGGCAAGTCACCTGCCACTCCTGGAGTTGAAAGTAGATGCCACCCTACGGGCTGGTCACTCCAGTGTTCCTCCATATGAAGCCCCCTCGGGCCATATGTGTATTCTTAAGTCCTCCCTACGGGTAGGCATGCTGCGGCATATCTCCCCTGAGATATGCTTCCCAGTGTACCTTGGTATTCCTGTGTTAAGTAGGACTCCCTCGTCCGTGCCTATATCACGACAGGGAGGTCAGACTGCGCAGGGCACTGGAAGACAGCTGTGAAGGTGGCGTGATTACACGGGGACCCCCATTCTCCGTCATCCGACGTAACTCGGAGTGACTACGAAAGGGAACGTCTCGGTTACGGATGTAACCCTCGTTCCCTGAGTAGGGAACGGAGACGTTACGTCTCCGTGCCACTTCCGCTGTACCGCTGGGTCGACGCCTGAGTTCAGTCTCGGCTCCTCAGCGAAGACATGATCTGCTGTTGCAGGTGTCTCTCCTTAAATACTCACGCGGTGAGGCGGAGATACATTATGCAAATTCCGCAGACCCATGGCATTTCATTGCCATTGGCTCGTTTTTTAATACTCGAAGAGGATTGGCTTTCTGGCGAAACCCCCATTCTCCGTCATCCGACGTAACGTCTCCGTTCCCTACTCAGGGAACGAGGGTTACATCCGTAACCGAGACGTTTTCAGCAGTAAGGACAATAATAATCCTTTTTTACTGAGAATTTAAAATGGTCAATGTCTCAAATTTGCTTACATTTGGCAAAATAATATTTTCCCTTTATTTAACACCATGACCATTCTTTTAAATCTTTGCACAATTTTTTTTTTTTTTTTGACCTTTAAAATATTGCAGAATCCTAGTGCAACTTATTTTTTATTTACAGGTACAGTATAAACTGGAAATTCCACACTTTTTTTTTATATAATTTGTTTATTTAGTATAATTTTAGTTTATTTAAAAAAAACATATGCTACATGCCATGCTGTATTTAATGAATGTAACCATCTGCTATAATTTTTCAGCACAGAAGTGTTACACCCATTAACCTTATGATTATTAATGTTTTAATCCCTTCTTCATGTGCATGCACACTATTAATCTGCAAGAAGAGTCACTCTCGCTTTTCGAAAACACACAAATTCAAGGACATTCATTTATTTAGCGCTTCGCATATTTATGAGCCCATAGCAAATACACACTTTGTTGTTCCGCTTGTTTGTTGGGGTGAGTCAGTGAACTGAAGATACTAGCAACAGACCATGAAGGATCTTCTGCATTACTCTCCAGTGAGCAGAGCCCAGACATAAATGAGCTTCATTTGCTCTCCTCTCAGATATCTCAGCTCGTCTCGTTCCTTGCCTGAGGCAGCCTCCCTAGACCGAGGCTTTCATATGATCATCCGCTGCTCTGCTTCAACTGAAAGAACCCAGTCTTTGTGTCCATGGCCGCTACAGTGACTGCGGTCAGGCTGGGGTCAGGCCCGGCGCTGGTTTGTTTAAAATCATGTATCGGTAGTAGTGCTGAATTAACATGAAAAGTACCATATGGGCTTATGCTCAGCTGGCTTAGTGTTCTATCACGTAGAGGACTCGGGCGTGAATGCCACAGTGGAAGGTCATATGCTAATTCGCTTTGTTTTGTTGTCATTTTTGTGCTTGTAGAAATAATGCCATTAATGACTTTGGGAATTTGAATACTTGCACATTTATATGCTTGGTTGGGTCGTTGAGATTGTGTACCGTTTTACTCCGTTTGTTTGGTCTCGTTACTTTAAAAGTGTCTGGTTTGGCTAGACATATTGGCCTAGAAAGTTTTTTCAAATTATTGCTGAAAAGTTTCATCGCTTACACTAGGATCACTTTCTGGTCCAGGCTGGGTTATGCTGGTGGACCAGTGGACCTAAAAAACTGGCATCTGTGGTTGCCAGTAATTTACCGTAAAAAAAATATGGTTGCAACATTTTAGCTTTTACAAATTTAACTTAATCTACAGGGGGAAAAGCATATTTCATTAAAGAGATAGTTCACCCAAAAAGTTGTTCCACACTCCTTTATGAGTTTATTTCTTCTGTTGAACACAAAAGAAGATATTTTAAAGAATGTTGGTAATAAAAACAGTTAACGGTAGCCATTGAAAAGCACTATGGAAGTTAATAGGGCCCATCAACTATTTGATTACCAACATTCTTTAAAATATATTATTTTGTGTTCAACAGAAGAAACTCAATACAGGTTTTGAAAAACATGAGGGTGAGGATTACATCATTTAATTTTTTGGGTGAACTATCCCTTTAACTGATATTATGTATATATACTAACCTATACTAATATCTGTTTTGTACCTTTGTAATACACAACCACCAAAAACAGGTGGTGATGAGAGTCACATGATGAATCAAAGCTCATCACAAGCAGCTTTTCCACAAGCTGATAAGGTAAATCCTATAGAAGGTGCACAGTGTCATTCACACAAATACTAAACACCATCATGGTAACACACATAACATAAAAAAATGCAATAAACATTAATTTAGCAACATTAGATGTAACATAAAACCTTAATGACCATAACTGATTAGAAAAAAATAAGAGGAAATATAGTTATTTCAATGAAAATACATCAAAAGTGAAGTGTCACACAGGAAATGCAGTAAATGTCATTTTAAGTTTTTTCGGATTTATTCTTTTTCACTTCCAAAAACTGATCACAATCATTTTTTACAGTGCATGCTGTTAACCAGCAAAACTAATTTGGTAAAGCTAATTGACCAGCATGATCTTTCAGAGGAGAGTTGAAGACCAAGGAAGTCTTGTTGGAACTAATTAAGAAGCCTGATGGCAAAATAAAAAGTACAATAAAATAAATAAAATAAAATACTATTAAATTCTATATAAAATATGTTTAATTTTTATTTTTCCTTTTACATCTCTCTTTGTGGACAGGTACCCATTCCCCACGGTGTTCAGTACGTGTAGTAAGAAGGATCTGGTGGCTAGTCTGGAGAAGGGAGTGGGCATGTGTTTGTATAATATGCCTGAAGTCAAAATGCTCTACGGGGGACAGAAATGTGGCAACGGATACATTGAGGAAGGAGAGGAGTGTGACTGTGGAGAGCTGGAGGTATGAAAGACTCATACACATCAAAGACCTTTGTGCGTCACAACAAAGTAGACCAGATCTGAACTAGTTCCATATCTGGTCTTTTTGGGATTTGATTTGGTCGGTTAAATATTCACAGGCCAAAGACTGTCTTGCACTCTGACTTCTTGTTGTTATCACAACCTGTGCCTGAATTGACACATATTCAGAAACAACACATTCTCATATGTGGGGAAACATGCTAAATATCAAATGAATCTGAGACATTAAAAATATTTCTTGTTTATTTTACACCAGCTTTTTTTTTTAAACGCCAGTTTTCACAATCCATTTATTTCTAATTATTAATGAGAAAAAAAAGATTATTTAGAAATATAAAATAGGATATATATATCACTATGCATTATAATTACTGAACATACAAATGAAGTACAAAAGTGACTGCCATGTTGCTAATCTTACAGTTACCTCAGGGTGTCTTTGAAATGATTCATAGTGTGAAATTCCATTTACTTTTGTATCATTACTGCACTAAAAAACTGCAAACTGTTCATGATATAGACAGAATTCGGACCTGGTCAAATAAATGTTGTTCCTCTCTGAGCCATGGTGCAGTGGGTTACATGTGTTTGTGACATAAAAGAGCTTGGGGCCGTGGTTTGAGTCCAGACTGCGTCATCTGTGTAGAGCCTGATCCAGTTCCCTATCAGGGAACTTCGAGCTGCGTGACAACGCATTGGGAACGCCTCCAGCGTGACGCGTCTGAAGCATGAATGAAATCAGTCCAATGGCGAGACGGAACGTCATAGGCGGGTGACGTCATCGACCAGGAAACTATATAAGCACCCCATAACACAAGCGCGTCAGCTTCTGAAGTCTTCAGCAAGCGCTCTGTGTCAAATATATCAGTCTGTGTCTCAAAGTGTTTTTGTCTGTCCTTAGAAATTGCTAGGCAGGAGTTTTTCACATATAAAAAAACTATAAAAAGAGACTATATATATTATGGCGAGTGAACAGCAGTTCAGAAAGTGTGTGCATCCCTGCCCACGTTACATCACGGGTGGGGACACTCACGATCTGTGTGTTGTTTGTTTGGGAGTACAGCATGCTCAGTCAGCTCTCGAGGGAGCTGATTGTGAGCATTGCGAGCGTTTGTCAATGAAAACGCTCCGCTCCCGCCGAGCCCTCTTCGAGGAGAGTGGTTCGGTTCGCGATCCCCGCGGTTCGGGTCCCGCTGCTGCCGAGGCACAGCGGAGGCGCCAATCGTGGGGTTCGCAAATGGATCTATCAGCGGGGATTGAGACGGGCTCTGCCTTTTCTCTGCCCTTACCTGATAGATCCAGTGTCTCAGATCCCGGGGTGGAAGCACGCGCTGCGGTTTCTTCCCCCCGGGCTGAGGCACCAACACTTCAACTATCCAGTTCTGAGGAATTGGATGTTGAAAGTGTTGATACAGCAGAGACTGGGGACTCGTCACTTCAGTCTCCTGCTAGTGAGGAGCTTATGGAGGTGTTGACTCGTGCAGTTGAAAAATTAAGCATTGAGTGGCCAGCTGATAGACAGGAGTCTAGATTAAAAAGCAAGTTGGATGAGAGATTTTTGCCATCTCGCTCTGCACCTCCACGTCGGTGTCTACCGTTCTTTCCTGATCTCCACACCGAGGTGTCGAGATCATGGAATAGACCGGTATCTGCTAGAATTTTTACGCAGCAGACCTGAGTTTATTCTAATATTTCTGGGGCAAAATATTATGGTTATGGGGCGATGCCTAAGGCGGAGGAAGTTTTGGCGAGCCATCTTTCTCCTGCCACGGCATCGTCCTTTAAGACACCGGCGTTGCCCACCAAGCCATTAAGAAACACCTCGGCTTTGGTGGGCAAAGCTTACTCGGCGGCGGGACAAGCAGCTTCATGTCTTCACACTATGGCTATCTTGCAAGCATATCAGGCAGATCTATTACAAGACATTAGTGAGGGGGAGGAAATAAGTGCTGATGTGGTCAGAGAATTACGTCAGGCAGCCGATCTCTCTCTCCGTGCCACCAAGGAGACGGCCAGATCAGTCGGCCGCTCTATGGCAGCCTTGGTGGCCACGGAGAGGCACTTATGGCTAAATCTGTCTAATATGAAAGAGAGAGAAAAATCCTTCCTTCTGGATGCGCCGCTGTCGACTGCTGGCCTCTTCGGTGACTCAGTGAATTCGGTCATCGAGAGGTTTCAGGAAGAAAAAAAGCAGGCAGCGGCGCTCCAGAAGTTCCTCCCCCTCCGTGTGCATGTCCCCGGGGCCGCTGGGCGGGAGCAGCCCCGGCCGTCGAGTAGCTCCTCACACAGGGCGCAACAAAAGAAGAGTGTCGCGTCTCGCGCTCCTCCCCAGCGAAACTGGGCCGAGGCGCGGCACTCTCAGACGAGGTCTTCCAGGGGCAAAGCCGATCTGAGGACGGTTATTGTCGCCAGGAAGGCTTCGTCGAAGAAATCCTGACGCCAAGGGTGTCAGGATGTTGAGGGTGGTCCCCACCGAGAGAGAAAGGTGTTCGCCGCTGTACACGGCGCCCGTTCTGTCTCGGTGCCCTCAGGGGCCTGTTCTGCCAACCCCGCCTGCGTGCCGGGGCGTAGACGGTCCCAGCGAGCGCTTTCCCGAGGGAAGCTCGCCCGCTCTGAGGAGCGGTTTAGAGCGGTCAGACCAGTTGTTCCCTGCCGGTGCGCCGTTACAGGGCACTGTGTCTGCCACTCAAAATATTCCAGAGGCCAGTCTCGAGAGACTGGTACCCTTAGTAGAATTTTTGGCAGAATGGAAAAGCCTTCCAAATGTATCTCGTTGGGTTCTGCAGACTATCGAGAAGGGGTACGCGATTCAGTTCAGATCACGCCCGCCTCGCTTCAGAGGGGTTCTGCCCACAGTGGTGGGCCCCGAGCAGGCTCTGGTTATGGAACAGGAGGTGAAAACTCTCCTGCTGAAGGAGGCTATAGAACGAGTTCTTCCTCCCAGCAGAGAGTTGGGTTATTACAGCCGATATTTCATCGTTCCAAAGAAGGATGGGGGGTTGCGTCCAATTTTAGATCTGCGCCTGTTAAATCGCTCAGTAGGGAAGCTCAAGTTCAAAATGCTTACTCTCAAGCAGATCGTGTCACAGATCAGGTCCGAGGACTGGTTTGTCACGAAAGATCTAAAGGACGCGTACTTTCACATTTCCATCCTTCCACAACACAGGAAGTTCCTGAGGTTTGCTTTCGGGGGCGAAGCATACCAATATCGGGTTCTTCCGTTCGGCCTAGCACTGTCTCCCCGAACTTTCACGAAATGTATGGATGCAGCTCTGGCTCCGCTGCGACTCCAGGGCATCCGCATTTTAAATTATATCGACGATTGGTTGATTCTGGCTCAATCGGAGCACCAGGCGATTCGGCATCGAGATGTCGTTCTCGCCCATATCAAAAAGTTGGGGTTGAGGCTCAACGCCAAAAAGAGTGTGCTTTCTCCAGTACAGAGGACCACTTTTCTCGGCGTGGTTTGGGATTCGACAACGATGCAGGCACGTCTGTCTCCTGCTCGTATAGCTTCGATTCTCTCAGCCGTCAAACAGGCAAAGCTAGGCCAGTCACTCACTGTGAAAGAATATCAGAGGATTCTGGGTCTGATGGCAGCAGCGTCCAACATTATACCTTGCGGCCTGCTGTACATGAGACCACTGCAGTGGTGGCTCAGGACCAAGGGGTGTGGAGACTCCACCCCGAGGTGGTGGAGCTCCTATGGAAACATTTCGGTCGTGCCGAGGTAGACCTATTTGCATCCAGGGAAACATCACACTGCCAACTGTGGTTTTCCCTAAGTCCTCCAGCCCCTCTGGGGTTGGACGCGATGGTACAGGAGTGGCCGAGGTCACGCCTGTACGCATTTCCCCCGATTGCTCTGCTCCCAGGAGTTCTGGAGAGGGTGCGCCGGGACGGGGTCAGTCTACTGTTGGTAGCCCCGTACTGGCCGGCCCGAGTTTGGTTTTCGGACCTAATTTCTCTCCTCGACGGCTCTCCTCTGGAGATACCGATGAGGAGGGACCTTCTCTCTCAGGCGAGCGGGTCGATACTTCACCCCCGCCCAGATCTGTGGAGGTTGTGGGCTTGGCCTCTGAGGGGGCCCAGCTCATAGAATCTGGTCTCTCGACTGAGGTCGTGGAGACCATCCTCCACTCCAGAGCTCCGGCCACTAGGAAATTATATGCCTTGAGGTGGAAAATGTTCACCTCTTGGTGTGGAGAACACCAGTTGGACCCAGTCAACTGCCCGGTCGGTGCAGTGCTGGAATTCCTTCAGGAGCGTTTCTCCACAGGGTTATCCCACTCCACACTGAAGGTGTATGTGGCGGCCTTATCTGCTTACCACGTCCCTTTGAATGGAGCTTCTCTTGGGAGACACCCACTTGTAACCCGTTTCCTTCGTGGCACTCTGAGGCTGAGGCCAGCAGTTCGCATGAGGGTGCCGGCCTGGGACCTGGCGGTTGTTCTAGAAGGTCTCTCTCTAGCACCGTTCGAGCCCATTGAAGAAGTTTCGGAGAAATTCCTCACTCTTAAAACTATCTTTCTTCTGGCTATATCTTCATTAAAGAGAATAGGAGATATCCAAGCCCTGTCGGTCTCTCCCTCGTGCTTGGAATTTGCACCAGGCATGGTGAAGGCTTTCCTCTTCCCTAGGCCAGGATACGTTCCCAAGGTACCAACCAATGTGGTCGGGCCTATTGTACTGCAGGCTTTCTGTCCTCCTCCATTTCTGACGTCGGACCAAGAGAAACTAAATCTGCTCTGCCCTGTTAGGGCCCTAGATGCATACGTCCACAGAGCTGCCTTGTGGAGGAAGAGCGAACAGCTATTCGTTTGCTTTGGACCCCCTAAAAAGGGCTGTCCAGTATCTAAGCAGAGGTTGAGCAAGTGGGTGGTCGAGGCCATCTCACTTGCCTACGAGTCTGTCGGTCAGCCTTCTCCTTTGGCTGTCCGGGCTCATTCAACCAGGAGTATGGCTGCCTCTAAGGCTATCCTGTCAGGAGTATCTATCCAGGATGTTTGTGACGCGGCAGGCTGGTCCTCACCGCACACATTCGTGAAGTTTTATCATCTCGACTTCAGCTCCACTCCAGGGGCGCAGGTGCTTTCGTCTGTATGTGCGCTCTGATTTCACACGACGGACACTTGCTCGCATGGCGACGTTGGTATTAGCGTTCCCAATGCGTTGTCACGCAGCTCGAAGTTCCCTGATAGGGAACGTCTCTGGTTACGTATGTAACCTTAGTTCCCTGAAGGGAACGAGACGCTGCGTGTCTGTGCCATACTCCCAGCATGCCCGTGAGCACTTGCTTCAGTCTTATCAGAAGCTGACGCGCTTGTGTTATGGGGTGCTTATATAGTTTCCTGGTCGATGACGTCACCCGCCTATGACGTTCCGTCTCGCCATTGGACTGATTTCATTCATGCTTCAGACGCGTCACGCTGGAGGCGTTCCCAATGCGTTGTCACGCAGCGTCTCGTCCCTTCAGGGAACTAAGGTTACATACGTAACCAGAGACGTTTCATCTCTCTCTCCCCCTTCCTGTCTGTCTCCACTGTCCTATAAATAAATGCTATAATGTCCCCTAAATATCATGTAGTAATGGAACAGTTAGAGCCTTCAAAAATGATCTATGTAATTTAGATGTCATGGAGACATATTATATCAGTGTAGACCTGAGGGAAAAAGCCTGGCCTGAAGCTTAAAGTCTAGGATCTTGTTATGGGGGAAAAGTTTCTTTCAGAATGGCACCCGTGAGCTCTTGTGATCTCACCGGGGGAATGAGGGAGGAAGTGGGTAAAGAGCAGAGAGGAAGCCCAGCTGCAGGTCTTGAGTGTTGGGTAGAAGGATGAGAGAAGCCCCCCCCCCCCCCCCCCCCCCCATCATCATTTCACACTGGCTGGCGATAGTTTAGAGAAAACAACAGGTCTGTAAAGAGATTTTTGTGCCTCTGAGGAGAAGTTACAGCCAGCGGACTGACCTAACCCAACCCAGCCCTTCAGCACCTCTCCCAGTCCACACCAGGACCTTGTTAAAGAGGGAAAGAGGAGGACAAAAGGAGGGAAAGAGAGGAATAAAAAGTCTTTTTTGAAAGACATTTTTGTATGAAATAAAAGGTTAGTGCTTGATTACTCTTGTGTACTTTTAGAGAACAACAAAGTTCTTCTGCTTTACTACAACAACAGAACAAATGATTGTCAGTCTTCAAAATTTACCTCTCTCTCTCTCTCTCTTCCTCACCGTTTTTCTTCTAAGATAAATGTCCTCTTTCCTTCAATTGTGCTTGGACTCTGACATTCCCATCACTTCCAGTCTTGGGTCAGTGATGATGTCACTCACTTACACACGTACACACACGAACATGGTTCACTGATACCAAGAGTTCAGAGTTTGAGAAAACAACATCCTTTTTTTTTATATATATATCAGAACAATGCATGGACCACTAATTTAAACCAGACATGTCAACGCACTCACATACACAAACCTACAGTAACGTTTCCAAACATTTTTTTTGTTACCATGGATGCAAAGAACTGGTGGACAGAAGGGAATTTCCTAAAAGAATACGAACCCCACACCTGGAACTAATATCCAATGCTGTGATCATACGGGACGACTGTTCAGAGTCTTTTTTTGTTGCTTTCCATTGTTCTTCTGTAACCTCTTATTGTCTAATGTCAAATTAAAGGGGTCATATCCTGTGCTATTGTGTTTTATTTTTCCTCTGAAGTCTACTTATAATGTTAGTCAAGGTTTCTTGCTCCAAAAATGATCGTAATTTTGGTTTTCACCTATTTTCTATTTTTTGTTTACAACTATCCACCTTCTTTCTGGCCCGTATAATTAAACAGCCTGACTTAAATATGTAAATGACCTCTGGTAAAATTTAGTCATAATTGTTTTGTTTCATCTTTTGTTTGTTTTTTCCTTTGCTTGTTCTGCTTTTTTTCTGTTTACTTTTCCCGGGTTTTTTGTTTATTTTGCTTTGTTTTTTGTTTACTTTGCTTGTTTTGATATGTTTAGCTTTTAATTAGCTTTTTATATTTCTTTTTTTTTTTTTTTTTTTTTTGGTTTGCTTTTTGCCTAGATTTTTCTTCTTCTTTTTTTGGAATGACACACATTTCTAACTTGTTTCTGACACTCAAAATTAAACAAACTGTTTGCTACTGTACCTTCAAGAATTATTGGTTAAATGATATCTGTTGTGATTGACTTAACTTTTCAGCATGTGATACAGTGGCACTTTAACAGTGACACACATTTAAATCCACTGTCATCGTTGTTTCCTTTAGGAGTGTCTGAACCCCTGCTGTAATGCTACAACCTGCACTCTCAAGGGAGATGCTGTCTGTGCCCATGGACAGTGTTGTGAAGACTGCCAGGTACTTTTGTAAATCTCTCCTGTCCCTCTTTCCCCCTCATTAATTTTTTTTTCTCTGTGTGTAAAATAAAGGCATGGAAATCATATTCTCCTTGCCTCATTAATAAGTGCAACATGAACCGACATTTGTGCTCCAAACATTGATACTCAGTTTCCTCTCAGGCCTCCAGACACATAAATCAATGCGCTCAGCTCACTTACTTACAGAGGAAAGAAGCCAGACCAGGGCCCTCTGGGACAGACCCCAGAAGAGGGCTACATGGTCACACAGACTTTACAACAAACTACAAGTTTTCCACCTAGTGCTTCATTGAGTGAAAATGTCAATAAAAATAAATCTTAACCCTTTTTTTTTTTAACTTTTTTTTTTTACTATATTTTATTTCTCAGTGTAACTTTTTCTGGTTACTTAATGTGGGGAAAAAAATTATATTACAGTGACAAATTACCAATCTGATCCCACGACTTGCTAATACGTTTGTTCCCTTGTCTTAAGTAAATCGTGCGCACAATAATTAATTCAAAATATAATAATTATTTCCCTCGCTTTACTAAATATTATTAATAATTAATAAGTCGTGGGAACAAATTCTTAATTTGTGGCCACAATTTAACTAAGGAATGAATTGGTAAATTATGGCCACGATTTACTAAAACGGGAGAACAAATTCTTAATTTTTGCCCACAATATATATGTCTATACAGTATATTAGTACTGTCAATCAATTAGAAATATTAACAAATTAATCGCACATTTTTTTCTGTAATTAACCGTGATTAATCGTAGTTAAGTAGTAACGCACTCTTTTGTGTCTTATCGCACGTGAATGTTTTAAAAGCATTTGCTTGAATAAGAGCGTGATCATATATTGTAGCGTTAACTAAAGGATGACGGAAAAACCTGATAGTTTTTTTACCTGATAGTTTTTGTAATTCATGCAAAGCTTGTCTCTGCATGACTTTTGGTTTATCCCATATTGCCTGCGTTGGAGTTGAGTATATCTTTCTCCTCTGTGTGTATGTGTGTGTGTGTGTGCAGTTAAAACCAGCTGGGACTCCTTGTAGAGAGTCCAGTAACTCCTGTGACTTACCTGAGTTCTGCACCGGTACCAACCCCCACTGCCCTGCCAATGTGTACCTGCACGACGGGCATGCATGCCACAATATGGATGGTTACTGCTACAATGGCATCTGTCAGACTCATGAGCAGCAGTGCATCACTCTGTGGGGTCCAGGTTGGTACCACTGTGTATTTAATGTGGATAGCTGCAGGGTTCTTGGGCTTATTTGGTTGACCAAAAATTGATTGTAGTGTACTGCAGATATACGTTTCATTAATCATACATTTTTGACACTGTAATTCTATATGTAACCATTGTCTTGCCAGAACTTCCCGTTCAGTCCTGCATGCATTAATACAGCGAGCTCAAACAGTATGAAAAATCACACTGATTGCTGTTATTTATTCCATATGTCTGCTCATATTCCTTTCCAAAAGGATTCAGGCCACAGTCTGACATATATTATCCTTTCATCTGTTTTTGGTTTGTATACAAGTTCAAACAAGATGGAAGAGTTGTGTCGTATTTCCATCTGCGACAGTGGGCATATGCTGTCTTATTTTCATTCTTTCTCTGTTTCCAGGAGCGAAACCTGCCCCGGGAATCTGTTTTGAAAGAGTAAACTCTGCAGGTGATCCCTATGGAAATTGTGGAAAAGACTCCAAAGGCTCCTTTGCTAAATGTGAAGCAAGGTACATTCAGGGCATAATACAACAGCACGTTGCACTTTAACCTTTGACATAAAATATAATTACAATCATTTGTTGTATTTGCTGTTCATTTTTGATTTTATACTTTTTAAATTCTGTTTTCTTCTTTGTTCAATGCAATATTTTGTTGTTCTGTTTGTTAAACTACTTCTTTGCTCAATTTTCACTTGCTTTTTTACTTATATTGTGGTCCTTGGCAGTACAAATGCGTAGCTTGACTTGTACCAACAAAGCACATAAAAAATGTAAATCAAGGACCAGTCACTGACACAGATATTACAGAATAGAGGTTATTTCCATGACACACATTCTTGAAACAAAAGAATATTGATATAAAGAATGATGAGTGTGAAATTATGAACAGTATTGGTTAAGGTTGTCTTAATTCATTGATGTCACTGATGTCACTTGCTGTCTAATTATTATAGGATGGCCCATCAAACATGTTGTAATGAACGTCATTTTATTCATTTCTTTGCAGCGTGACATGTTATTATTCAGCAGCAGGGGCAGCCCTATGGTTTTGCGTGTAATCTCTTGTCACTGTTAATTACACTCTTTGTTCATCACACATGAGTGAGAGGGTGTAAAAGGCGAGAGTACCTCAAAACCACATAATATCCTCTATTTTTCAGTCTTTGTATCGCCTTATAACATTGTTACATAAACATCGTTTGTCTCACTGTGTTTTGTCCATGTGTGTGCGATTATGGAACAGGGATGCTAGGTGTGGGAAGATTCAGTGTCAAGGAGGTGCCAACAGGCCAGTGATCGGAACCAATGCAGTTTCCATAGAGACAAACATACCTCTGCACGAGGGCGGGCGTATTCTGTGCCGTGGAACACACGTTTACCTGGGTGACGATATGCCTGATCCGGGACTGGTATTGGCAGGCACTAAGTGTGCTGAAGGAATGGTACAAGAATTAATCATTACACAGTGTATCTGCTAGAGATTATTTGTTTAATCAAGAAATTATGATAGTGGTAGATCGATATGTTTCAGCCAGGCTGATGAATGCGGTGATATTTGGCCATTTTTATTGCCATTGACTATGATATGATATGATATGATATGATATGATATGATATGATATGATAGACGTATATCATATCATATATCATGGAAAAACAATTAAGATAAGTTTAAATGAGTCATTTGAATAATTAAATGTCCTATGATAATTTTTAAACACATTTGTCTAAAGTTTGAAGAATTAATTGTGATTATTTTATTCTTTTGATAGTCCTAGTTTTAACAAGTGAGAAATAAAACCCATATCTGCATATTATGTTTTAATTTTGAGTAAATGTCTAATTTTCTGTAAAATATTTATATAATTTGTCATAATATTGGCCACCCTAGCACTTAGAAACCCACATCAGTCTACCAGTAGTCAAGGGAATAACAAATGTTTAATTTCAGTTGATACCTATTCAGTGTTTTTTTCTTTACCTGCCGTTCTCTCTCTCTCTCTCTCTCTCTCTCTCTCTCTCTCTCTCTCTCTCTCTCTCTCTCTCTCTCTCTCTCTCTCTCTCTCTCTCTCTCTCTCTCTCTCTCTCTCCCACTCTCATCACAACAGATCTGTTTGAACAGGCAGTGTCAGAATGTCAGTGCGTTTGGAGTGCACAAGTGCTCTGGGAAGTGTAATGGAAGAGGGGTAAGGTTGCTTCTGCTCTGTCAGTTGAATTTTTCTTAAAAATGTTTTTTTTTCTCTGACATTAGTTATCAGGCATTAGGCTCTGATTTAAGTCAAGAATGCTGAAAGCAAATCAACACAAATGATTAACCTCTACTGAAAGCCCCGCCCTCCACAGAATTGTCCATTTCATTACAGTATAGCTGTTTGCCAAAGGGGACAGCATATGCCCATAATAGCACTTAGCTAACTAGTAGCTTCACTTGAACTAGATTACTGCTACGATTGAAATAGCGGTTAAAAGCACAGATAAGATGAGCTTTCTGGAGTAAATTAGATCACAGCGTAACCTTGTGTTAGTCTTGGTTTTTCATGGAAGCTTGATACATAATGTGGATATTTAAAGGGATAGTTCACGCTAGTGTTGTATTGAAGACCACCTAAACTGAGACCAGTGTGTGTTGAGACCAAGACAAGACCAAGACCAGCACTCATTAAGATCCACATTTACTGCCTGAGAAATGTCTTATTTTAAATCAATAAATACACCTAGAATTATAAGACACTATATAGAGCTGTTCAAATGAAAAATTCATCTTTGCAATGCAGAGGTGTCACAGAAGTTGCATCTGAATTTACAAGTACAACTCCATAAATAATGTTTAGATTAATGTTAGAAATAACATATTGATTTTATACAAACGTTCAATAAACAAAATCACATTTACAGTCATACTCATATTTGTGAAAACAGCTCTCCTGCTCTTGTGATATTGCTTAATTATATTATGTTATAATATAAAATTCAAGATCTTACATAGTTTTTTTGCAGTCATATCTATTCATTTTGGTGACTTTTTTGACACAATCCCTCATTGATTTCTGACCTGGCACAACGATTACAAAATAAATCAAATTAGAAATAAGTTATTGACTGCATTTGAAACAGGAAGTTTTACAATTTACAATCAGTTTTACATTTTACAATCACATAACAAATAAACCAGACAATGCACCGGCAATTTAGACAAGAGACAAGCCTGCAGTCGCAAAAAATGCGGTCGACACGGAGATAAATGGTCAAAAAATTATCTTAAGACTGGTCTCGAATACTCCCAACACTAGTTCACGCAAAATGAAAATCTGTCATCATTTACTTATCCTACTACTATTTTTTCTAAACCTGTATACCTTTCTTTTATCTGTGGAACACGAGTTGTATGTAGTCTAAAGTTGAAAGTGAATGGTGACCATATTCTAAATAGAAAAGATTACTGTTCATAAATGTTCCTCACACAAAGGAATACAGGCACAAGTCATATATAGGCCACTTTTATATTGCTTTTTTCCCAAGTTTTCTGGACAACATTCACTTAAATTGTATGGAATAGAGATTCAAAACTTCCCCTTTTGTATTCCAACAAAGAAAGGCATTAGGTTTAGAACAACATGAGAGTAAGTAAATGAAGACAGGAATTTAAAATTTGGGGTAAACCATTCTTTCAATCACATACCCCGTCCCCGGCCACACTATAGCATGCTTGCTGGGTGACTCGAGGCTTGTCTTAGCTGTTGAAGTACTTCACAATCAATCTCTGTCGCTCCAATAAGGTTATAGGAGTCATATTTAATTCATTTGTGTACAATTTAAAGTGTCATTCATCATCTTTTGGCTCATATGCACATTTGCTTTTTGCCAGAAGAGTACTGAAATTCAATCGCTAAATGTTGTGGCCAAGAACACCCCCACGTTGTCTTTTGCATTTGCACCCACTGTCATCTCTGCAGGGCACGTGTGCAAGCGTGTAATGTTTTATTTATTTTCTCTTGTTACACGCTTCCTAAATTGGAGTTCTTCTTTTTGTGTGTGTGTGTGTTTTAGGCTATGCAATTACGTCCATTTTTTCATCCAAGGTCTATTTCCTTACTGGAAATGTGCTGCAAGACAAATTGATAACTTTTTAATAAAGATGTTGGGAGTCCTGTCAGCATCCTGGGATCCTGAACTGTCCGACTGCTAGTACTTTTGTATGCCAGACTGGCCCAGACCTAAAACAATAGAAGACCACTTAAACCCAGACCAATTCTAAAACCCCTTAAGCCCCAGACCAAAACAAGATCCCCCGACCTATGATCTAGATAACACTCCACCAATAAGGCTAGTTTTTTCTAGTTTTGAGAGGTCTCAAGACCAAGTCCACATAATCAAGAATCAAACTAAAAAATCTTTCAACCCTGAAACTTAGAAGTTTATCTGTTTATTTTGTTCCCCTATGTTGAAACAATCATAGCATCTAAGAAAGTTGGATGACAGAGTTAAGAGTTTGAAAGACTAAAAAGTTTGGTCATGTTTTATGATGGGAAACACATAGCTGCATCTTTCATTTTAGAAGGCAGACATATAATATTCAGACTGTGATTTAAGCATCAAGTGACATCAATCAACTTGTGCAGCAACCCTTGACACATGCCCTGATGGGAAAAAATGTATGCAGTTTTGTGCAAATGGAACACTGTTGCCCTTGAACGCAACATTGAACAGAGCATCCATGATCTGAATGCTCATGAGGAGATGCACTCCATTATCCCACAGAATTCCTTAAGCATTGAACAGCAGGATGTTGTTGATAATGTCCGGCAATGAATTTAATCAGATGGTTTAAGCTGCGTGTGGCATTGATGCCGGTTGCTTCATGTTTACAGGAATGCAACAACAAGAAGAACTGCCATTGTGAAGCTCACTGGGCACCTCCTTTCTGTGATAGGACGGGCTTTGGTGGAAGCATGGACAGTGGGCCAATGAGACAAGCCGGTACAGTGACGAACACCTGCACTTTTGACAAACCTGCTAGAGCAGTATGCACTATACTAACACAGCATGACTTAGTTAACATGCTTAATTAATACTTGCTGCAGTGATTATGTTATCCTTTCCAGTCTAAGGCCTGAAACATACTCTTTCACGCAAGTACTGTATGCAAGCATTGATACGATTTTTTTAGGCATATTTGCATAATGCCAGCCTATGGTCATCATTGGCTGCCCTCAAACATTGTAGTTGTTGCTGATGCCTGGAAGAGTTTGGTTGGTATTGTTGACATGTCGTTGTTTTCAAAAGCGAGGACTCACGCTGGAATTGATACAGTAAAACTGACGCCATCATTACTGTTCATATCGCTGTGTATGCTGAGGAAGTCAACGGAGACGGAATTCAGATATGATAATGGCGGTTTCGTTTCCGAAACACGCTGTAAGCGGTAGACCAATCACAACAGACTGGGCAATCTCATCAACATCAACATTTATTTTATACAGCCCTTTACAACACTCAAGGTGAACCAAAGTGCTTTCCAGAGAAATTTTTTTTAATTAAATTAAATAAAATATATATATAATGACAACAATATAATGCAAAATATAATAAAATATATATACAAAATATATAAAGCCACAAAACAAAATGTATGTCGCAAAGAAAACACAAAATGCCACAACAACAACTTCTATGAATTAAAAGCCAGTCTAAATAAATAAGTCTTAAGCTTAGCCTTAAAGAGGCCCAAGTCAGTGATTATACGTATATCAGCAGGTAGCTTGTTCCAAAGGCTTGGCCCAGCTACAGAAAAAGCCCGGTCACCCCAGAGTCTGTACCTTGTCCTTGGGACTTCCAGCAAAAGTTGATTTGTTGATCTAAGAGCCCTGTTTGATTGACGCAAAGTTAACATCTCAGTTATGTACGGTGGTGCAAAGCCATTGAGAGCTTTAATAACAAACAATAAAATCTTAAAATCAACTCTAAAAGAAACTGGAAGCCAGTGGAGCGAAGAAAGAATTGGAGTTATATGCTCACGTTTGCATGTATTAGTTAGAAGACGGGCTGCTGCGTTCTGCACCAGCTGAAGGCGCCTAAGTGATGACTGTGAGACTCCAACATAAAGCGCATTACAATAATCTATTCTTGAACTAATAAAAGCATAAATAGCTTTCTCAAGATCGGAACGATTTAAAAATGGTTTGACCTTGGCCAATAGACGTAGCTGAAAAAAACTAGCTTTAACCACACTGTCAATTTGTTTATCAAATTTCAGGCTACTATCAAAAGTCACACCGAGATTTCTGATAGTCGGTCTAAGCTTAGAAATTAGCGTGGTAGGGTCGGAGGTTGCAGACTCACCAAATAAAATATATTCAGTCTTATCTTCATTCAAATTAAGGAAATTTTACTCTAACTATAATTCACTGTCGTCAATGCAATCAATTAGTGACCCAAAATGCATCAGTATTTGTTGGACTCATAGGCAAATAAATTTCCAAATCATCAGCATAGCAGTGATAAGCTATGTTATGCCTGGCTATGATGGACCCAAAAGGCAGCATGTAGAGCGAAAATAAAACCGGTCCGAGAATAGAGCCTTGTGGCACCCCGCAGGAGAGAGAAGTAGTAGAGGAGGACGAATTCCCAATCACTCCAGAAAAGGTTCTGTTGGTCAAATATGACGAGAACCACTGAAACGCAGTACCCTTAATGCCAACATAGTGATTAAGGGGAGACAGAAGGATTGCATGGTCCACTGTATCAAAGGCCGCCGTGAGATCAAGGAGCACTAAAATAACAGGGCTCTTGACGTCAACAAACCGAAGCAATATCGTTGTGCACCTTTAACAGTGCAGACTCAGTACTATGTCGCGATCTAAATCCTGATTGAAATTTCTCAAATCTGTCCATCTGACCAATCAGAGCTGTATAAGCTCTCAGAAAGAAAGCGTTTAGACAGAGACTGGATCTTTTATCACACCGGTCAGACAGTGTGAGAAAAGACGTGATGCTGGAATGTATATTATGTGAAAATAAAAGTGTTTTTTGACCTTGGATGTAAACCTATTGTACGAGAACTCCAAAACAAAATTAGGAACCTTTAATATAGCATAATTGGGACACTTTAAATTATTTAATTGTTTGCGTATTTATTTACTTCCTAAACAGCTATACACAAAGTAATGAAACAAAATGGTGAAAATGTACACCCTTAATTACAAATGTTATTGCCAGTGCCATTAAACCAGATGTATTATTATTATAGACTTTGTTTTTAATTTATTAAATGTCAATGTTATCAATTCATTAATTTATTATTTATTTATTTATTTATTTATTTAAGAATAAACAACTCTACACAAAGAAATGAAACAAAATTAAGAAAATGACCATCCTTGGTTAAAAATGTTATAGCAGTACCATTTAACCATTTGTGTAATTATTATTATTATAAATGTTTATTTATTTATCTATTAAACATTAAAGGAAGAAAGAGAAAATAGAAAACTGACCATTAACTATACCTACTACAGTGTTCTTTGAAAATGGATACTTGCATTGCATTATTACTGGTTTGACAACATATTTCAGAATGCAATGATGCATGCAGTACGTTTTGCATACTTAGAAGCGTTTATGCTTGCAAACATGCATGGAGTTTCAACCATTTATGCCTCATGCATTCAGTTTTTCGAAAATGTACTGCTTCAAGACGTGCACTAGCTCTAACCACTTTTATCCCCTCTGTGACAGGCAGGTAGAACAGTGCAGCCTGCGAGTACAATGTACTTACAAAACCCATTAAACGATTTTCCAGTGGAAAAGCATAACAGCATTGACAAAACACGTCATTGATTTACTGGTGGAAACCTGAAGCACTGCGCTTAGATGTCATTCAGCACTCAAACACTTACGAACTTTGAGACAGCTTGTAAAAAGCAATGCAGGTGGAGACACAGAGGGATGTTGATCAATTCCTTTTCACTCTAACCTGACTCTGACTTCTTGTGTTTTCCCTCTCTGTGCCATTCTGTGCCGTGCTGTACAACAGATGTGCGAGTGTGTGTATTAATGTGCGTGCTGTCCTATGTGACAACAGCTGACAGCAGCGCTCTGGCCGTGGGCGCGCTGGTCACCCTCCTTTGCTTGCTGTCGGCGGGACTGATTGTGTGCCTGAAGAGGAAAGCGCTGGTTCAGATGCTCTGCGTCAATAAGAAGAGCGCCATTCAAAAGCTAAGGTGCCGTTTCCTCCAGCAATGTCTTCCAAAATGTGTTTGATCCTGGATTCCTGCTGGTATCCATCTAGGGACACCAAGAAAAACCTTGTATGGAAGCTTAAAGGAATTAAGTTTCAAGTTCAGTATAAGTTCATATCGAGTATAAGTTCATATTTGGGGCACAATATCATTTGGAACAGAAAATAATTTTGACATTACTTAAAAAAAATTCATGGTCACAGTAACACACTTACAATGGAGGTAAACTGGGCCAGCGTTCCATAGGGTTTAACAGTCTAAATGTGAAGATTGTAATTTTGTTAAAGCACTTGAATTATTCAGTAAAACCCTGTTTATAATTTATTTAAGCTTTACAGTTGTCCAAATCATCCTTTTTGAAGTGGGAATAGTTTTCTTTGTGGATGAACTACTGATGTATTCCTCTGGGTGGAGTTTTCTTCATGTAAAAAGTACTTTTACTCGTCAAGTCCCCTTCTAGTATCATTGAGTTTATTGTGTGACACTTAAAGGGGTTATTGGCTTTATCTCATCATGACATTGAATAGGTTGGGTTAGGTCAGTAAGTTACTGATACGCATTACCGTTCAACGGTTTGGGTAAGATTTGTTAACATTTTTGAAAGAAGTCTCTTATGCTCGCCAAGGCTACATTTATTTGATCAAAAATTCAGTAAAACAGGCGAAGTACTATTGTGAAATACTTGTACAGGTTAAAACAACTGGAATCTATTTTTAATGTATTTTAAAATGTAATTTATTAAGCAGAATTTTCAGCATCATTACGCCCGTCTTCAGTGTCATTTGGTGCTCAAGAAACATTTCTTATTATCATCAATGTTGAAAAAACCCAACATTGCTGCTTAAAGTGTAACTTTGTATTGTTACAATGTCGGTAGTATATGTAAAAAAAAAACAAAAAAAACAATGTTTAGTCATGTTACTTAGACCGAGAAATTCACATTTATTTATCAGCCAAAGCGTTTTGCGTCATCCGGCGCACTTTTGACAGCTCTAGTGAAAACTACAAATTATACTTCCGCATTTTATTATCTCCGCTTACGGACAGTCGGCTCGACAGAGGGTTATTAACAGAACAGTTATTGTAAGGTAGGTTTATCACTGATAATTGTATCGTATTTTATGGTACTAGCATGGTAAAAATGGAACACTATGGCAACAGCTTTCTTACCTGTTCACGGCGGTGCTTTACTTTGGGATATTCTTTGAATTAAAAATCTTTTGTAACAATACAAAGATCTTTACAGTCACTTTTGATCAATTTCATGAATCTTTGCTAAATAAAACTATTAATATATATATATATATATATATATATATATTTAAAAATCTTACTGACCCAAAACATTTGAACAGTAGTGTACAGTAGGTCAGTATGTGATTCTGTCACACCATCATGCTATCATTTTAAAACTGTGTGTAGTTTTATATTTACATGTCTACTTACATTGTAAGTGCTTTACCATAAATGTGATTTTTCTTTTTTTAAAGTAAGGAGCAAGTCATATTTTTTGTGGCAATTAATATTATGCCACAGATTAAAATGTGGACATCCCTACTGTAGTAATTACTTTCTACACCCCTAATAATCGTAAAGTAAATTAAAACTTTTCAAAAACTCTTTCTTAATTCTACAGATCAGTTGGGCGAAAGCGAGCGCCCAGCCCCCCACAGACACAGTCAGTCTTCAGGGTCTCACCGCAGCACAAGACCCCCTCTTTACCTTTACACTCCCGGTGTGACAAGGTAAGTGTGGTGCTCTCATCATCAAAATGTCACAAAATATTATATATTCTATATAATATTATATTATATATAGAACATTTTCTTATCCAAAAATTATCTTATCCTTTACCTATTTTTTGGTAGTAAAATTGTGTTGTTGTTGTTTTTGTTTGTTTAGTTTTTAGAAGAATCATTGTAAATTGTTATTGTTTGACCAAATACCAGATTTTAGGTTACACTTTACAGTAAGGTTCCATTACTTAATGTTACATTAACTAACAATGAACAATACAGTTTTCATCCATCTTTTTTAACAATAGTTAATCAAAATACAACTGTTCATTGTTAGTTCACGTTAGCTCAGGTCCATTAAATAATATAACAACTTTTGATTTTAATAATGTATAGAGTGGTGCAGGTATTTACGTCAGAACCCAGAAGGTTCCTTCGAGATTTTTCATATGGGGTTTTATAATGTGGTTTTTCAATTTATGTCTAGAATAAAGCCTGTGAAAATCATAACTTGACGATACTTTGACTTTTTGTTCTATAACATACACTACACACTAACACGCCCCAAGCTGTCTTATCTAGTAACTTATTAAAAAAGTACGTTTTCAAAATGTAAACATAACTGCTTCAAAAATTAAAGTTTTCGAATGGGTGTGTGTAATTTACATTGTAGAATAAAACGTTAAAGTATAGTCAACTTATGTTTACAACAGGCTTTATTTAAAAAAAAAAAAAAAAAAACATAGGAAAATCTCGAAGGAACCAGCGGAGAATTAGACTTCCGGGTTCTGACGTCATACCTGCACCCCTCTATTAGTAAATGTTAAAATGTTGAAACATCAACTAAGACGAATAAATGCTTTAGAAGTATTTTTCATTGTTAGTTCGTGTTAACTACGTTGTTAACGAATTTTGACAAATAGAACCTTATTGTAAAGTGTTACCAGACTGTATTATGTATTGTATCATTTTGTGAAGAATTGTCATCTGAATTATTATTTACACCCCTATTAACAAGCAATAACAAGATTTTTTTTAAATCTCAAATTCCATAATTCTGTACCTCGGTGTCTGCTCTGCCCAGCGAGGAGCAGATGAGGTCAGTTCACTTGCAGAATTACTATGCCTGTCCAAGCCAATTAATTCCTGGCTTTCTGTGGACACAGCGTGAGACTTAGGTGCATAATTGATTTATTGTTCAGTACTGACCCTCAAAGAATATTAATGAAGTCCAGAACTTCATCTAAAACCTCAAATGTTCAGTTAGAAGGGTTTCTATTTCAATTCCGTGTAATCCACTTGAGTAGCATAACAATATAATGATTGAGGTTCTTGTTACTGGAAGTCTTTGTATGATTGGAGAGTAGCCATTGAAGTGTGTTTGAGTGTTAAAACATTTATTGCTTCATCTGGGTATTTTTAGTCGGTGCGCAGTGTGCCATACCAAACAGCAGATATGTATGAGTACCTTTGTGAAAAAGCACCCGGAACGGTATGGGATTGTTTGCAGAAAGAGGTATAGATTGATTCCTCGAAAGTCTTAAAGGTTAGCAGTAGAGCTCGTATTGAATTCTCGTGTGTTCTTTTTCAAGAGCTGACTGTCTTTCCACAGACATCCCATCCCTGTTCGGAGCCTCTCCTCCCTCCACATAACTTCCACAGTTTGCGTCGGCTGCCTCAATGTCCCACCCGCTGCCAGCCCATCCACATCAGCCACCCCATGCCCATCACACTGGGCATCAGCATGGGCTCAGGTCTGCAGCCTTTGCCCTCTATCCCGCCTCATAGGACTCTGGTCTCACACACACACTCGCCGGGCAGAGCGGCAGGCTTCCACACACTCCCACGCCAGCTTCCCTACACAAAAAACCAGGCAAGTGCTGTCAGACACAGACTGTCACCATGTACTAACTGGTATAAGTGTGAATGCTAGTGTGGTTTTGAAATATTAATGCCAGTATTAAAACTCTATTCTGTTTTGTATAAAATAGATAAAAATAGACACAAACTAAAAAGTACTTGATTTTTAATGTACTTAAGCGTTAAAAGTAAAGGTAACACTTTATTTTAAGGTGACAGTTACACGTTACTACATGTACTTACTATAATAATAATAATAAGTAATAACAGTAAATTATACATAGTTACAAGTAACTAACCCTAAACAAAACCCTAACCGTAACTCTATAGTAATTACATTTAGTTCACTAATATTACTCAGTACTTATTTGAGTAAGTACAATGTAATTAACGTCACCTTAAAATAAAGTGTTACCAAAGTAAAAAGTACTGATTGATGAATGATTATTTATTTAGCAATTTTATAAACTCCATCCTAATGCTCAAAATGTGTGTGGGGGGAGGGGGTATAATGTATTAGACTCACAGATAGAGCTTAAATAGGTTACACCTCAGTCTGACATCATTATGAATTACTACGTAATTGTCAAGAAGTCAGTGCTAGTCAATAAGGAAGATTATGCAGACACTTAAAAACTTTTTTTTTTTTTTTACCAAAACTTACATACACTGATAACAACTACTGATATTTACAACAAGTGTGCAAACAAGTGAAAATATAGTAATATACAATATAGTAGGGTGAATTCAGGTTGACTTTTTGTCATTGAATGACTGGGAAAAAGTGTCCCAATCAACCTGAATTCACCCCTAAATAGAAATAAGGAAAAACAAAATGTGTGTACCGTACATGTAAAATGGCTTAGCCAGTTTGCCCTTTTACTGCAGATTCAGTTCACAAACAACTGACAGTCGTGACCTAAATATGATTTACTTTTGCAATAATAAATCATAAAGTTCGGCATTAGAGGATCTCAGAGGATCTCCCATTCTTGGATCATTTTGATTCAGACTTGTGAATTCAGTGAATTTTTAACTGGAGACTCGCTCTGACCGGATCATTTGAATCAGTGAGTTGTTGACTTGAGAACAGATGCAATAGGATCGGTCCATTTCACGAATGAGTTTTTCGTGGCTTTTTGTGATGGGATTTTTTAGGTTTACTGAAAAGAATCAGCTCGTTCATGAATCGGACTCTGCTATTGTGTCTTGTAGCAGCTGTGACAATTTCTTCACCTCAAAATAATGAGAAACGACATGTTTTTATGAAATATAGTGAAGTAAAAAGTACTAGATTTTGCTTTGAATGTAGTGGGGAAAAAAGTTAGTTTTTTTAACTTTTAAAAAAAAGTTAAAAGTTAAACCCCCCCCCCCCCCCCCCCCCAAAAAAAATATTACAATAAAGTACAGACACTTGAAAAATAAACCTAAATATAAAAAATACTTTGTTACTGTCCCCTACTGTCCAAATGATTTTATATTGAATCGAATTAAATTGAACAAGCTTGTTGTGAATCAAATTAGAATCGAATCATGAAATTTGTGTCAGTGTCCAGCCCTAGATTTTTATGAATTGGCATTAGCATTGTCAGCGGGTAATCACAAAAATAATTGCAAAAAGGCTTGTGGGTCAGGAGGTTTTACCATAAGCGGCCGTTCACACACATTTTTGCATTTTACTGCGCTACTTTACCATTGATTTATTTTATTTAAACTTGTGTTAGATGGATGCCTTTGACCGTTGCACTCACGTTTTGTGTCTTTTGCAGCATCTTGCACATGACTCAGCTATCTAAAAACACAGAGCTCAAAGTTAAAATAAGTTCGACTTAAGAAAACCCATCTTTTCCATTCCACTGCTCGCTTCTAGCGTTTTTCATTCGGCTGCAGCTGATATAAGTTCTACAGGATCTGTTTCTTTGGCTGTAAAGCGACAGACAGATGGATGGAGATAAGAAGACATTAGCGAGGACTTAATGCTTTCCATCGCTCTACAAACCCTATAAATGACTTATATGAGGTTTCCAGTTGAAGATAAAATGAAGACAAAAAATATAAGAGTGGGGTAGACAGAGCGGGCGGAGGAGTGAAAGTGATACGGAGAGAATGAGATTGGACTGGTGCATGAGAGCTTTCCTGTGAGATGGGATGAGAGACATCCGTGTGTGAAGGTATGTGGTTTAGATGATAAGTGCTGCTCAGGGACACTGGCAGGATATGCTATCAGACTGCATGAAGAAGAACATCTGTTGCTTTGAATCTCAGCTCACTTCTCTGCACTGCAGTGACTAAACTGTGGTTAGATCCAGCAAACTAGAAAGTCTCACCTCAAGGAGACATGTATCTTGCTAAATAAGTGCAAGATGGGTATTTTTATGATAACACATTGTACTTGGAAAGTAGAATACCTATCCCATGGATTAACTTTTATTTGTGTTTGTTACTTCACTTTGAATAGGCCTTAAGGAAAAAATATATTAAGGTACAAATCATAGAAAATTAATATGCAATCATGCATATTAATGCATGGATTGTGCCAAATGGAAATAGTTCTCAATATACCATATAGGCTGCATACCGGCGTGACAAATCACTCTTCAAGCAAAAAGAACTGGATGAATTTTTGAATGAATTTTTGAATGCTTCCGATCCCGATCTGAATTCTGACTTGGAAAAAGGACTGAATTCTGACTTGCCTAATATATCACAAGTCAGAATTCAGATCGGGATCGGAAGCATTCAAAAATTCATCCAGTTCTTTTTGCTTGAAGAGTGATTTGTCACGCCGGTATGGAGCCGGAGCTGGTCATAGGGTCTGTGAGGAGGACCTGTCTGGTTCTTGTGGTCTTTGCTCAGGATCTGTGCCGATGGCTGTCATGTCGACAAGGCCTTCACAGGTGATTGTCTAGTAGACACGGTCTCTGCTGACATTCAGGGCTGCGTTGTGTGCCTGCCAGGTTAAAGTGATGTGTTTTTAGTGTCTGCTTCCTGAACAAGGCTAGGAAGACTGTTCCAGAGTTTGGGTGCTAAATAGGAAAAGGATCTGCCGCCTACAATTGAGGTATTATCAACTAGACAGAAGGACTATAATGCGTTAAGAGCTCGCTCAAGTACTGGGGAGCTAAACCATTTGGTGCTTTGCAAGTAATTAGCAAGATTTTAAAATGCATGCAATGTTTAATAGGGACTATTAGGGAGCCAATGCAGTGTTTACAGAATTGGGATAATATGGTCATACTTCAATTCTAGCTGCTTCATTTTAATAATAATAATAATAATACTAAAAAAACACAGGGATGTTTTACATAAGCATTGACTGTGCTGACAGTTTGTAAAAGCAAACTTTATATATAAATTACATTTATATATATAAAATATAGGGCACTTACAATATCGGGCAAGACATACTCAAATAGATGGTAAAATATGTGCTGTTTTGTCTAAACAAACCTATACATGTTAGTATGAGACTAGCATTGATAAAGTAATTTACTAACCATGTCTGTGCAGTTATCTCCAATATAAACAGCGTGCCATGACTATATAAAGCTCATAAACCTGCTAAATGTCACATGGTACGTGCAGGGATACCAAAAAGGGACGTGACATAACTAGCCAAATACTGTTGACATGGAGCTCCACATATAGGAATTAAATCAATAAATGCAGAACAAGACCCCGCTTTTAAAAATACGATATAAAATTTACAGCTACGCATTTTTCTACAGAAAATAATATCTTTAGATTTCTACCTTGCCCCATTGACTTCCATTGCAGCTAAGTTCATTACTGTAAACACAATTATGCTAAAGATCCTTCATATAGCCTAGATTGTGCCACAAATTCTGTCTAAACTAGTATTAATTCCTTTTATAACGTAAATATATAATTAATGAACAAGTTTTTTGTTGTTGTTGTTGTTTTTTGCTCTCCATCAGTGGTTTCATCAAAAAAAGTTCACATTCAGAGTACACATGTTGTAACTGAGCCACACAATACAAATGTCTGATACATTAAAGCTTGCTTGCTTCAATGCTGACCTCATTGAAAGCATTCACATTAAACCCCTTTACATATGAAATCACTGGGGGTTTTTTAGTGCTCTTGAGTGCCCTTTTCTTCTTGAATGAGTTCACATTTACTCTGGGAGCCATGAAACACTTTCACCTCTTACGGAGTTCTCACAAATTGGCCTCATGGCTCGACACACCGTCGTGCGCTCATGATTAAAAGGTCTTGTATTGCTATAATGACATTGCTTTCACAAGGATGATCGTTTGCAGGAACAAATCACTTCCATACAATGGGTAGAACTGTAAATGAGAAATAGTTTATGAAAGACAAAAATGGATTTGAAATGGATGACCGCTTTTATAACGAATCAATTTCTCTTTTGTTTTCCACAAAACAAGGCTGAACAGCTGTGAATAGCTAACAGCTGTACGCCATGACCTCATCCTCTGAGTAAATTGGTAACACATGATGACCTCTTGACTTAACGTTTGGTGAACTGGGTGTTGGCAATGGGAGTGCTGCATGTTTTGTTTTGTTATTCTGCATTTTTGCCAACCTGGTTTTCCAGGACGAGGCGTGTAATCACAGCTCCATCTAGTGGCAGTAGGATGCTAGCATTGTTTACACACATTTTTTCATTTTAATACTTGATCTCAACCATTTTCACTCGGAAGACCCCTGCTGTCCAACAGAATTGGGTATATTAAATGAATTAACCACAATTCATTTTGTGATTCCATTTTGTATGTATCAAATTTTGTGATTCCTTTTTGTAATATCAAACATATTTAAACCATTGTAGACCAGGTGGCCATAATGGTTTAAATATGTGTGATAAACCAGGAAATCTTATGTGTTGCCACATGCAGGACCAAAACAAGCCCAGTCCCCCACAGAAACCACTTCCTGCAGACCCCTTATTCAGAGGCCACGGGGTGGGTCGCAGCATGTCAGCGGTGGGAGTGCGGATACCAGGCCCTGGACCCCTAGCCATCCCGATTCCAACAGTACCACGACCACCCCCTTCCATACCACTGCCGAACAGGTCAGTCCCATTGTGAGATTGCTGGTAAACTCACATATTTATGGATGAAAACTAACCACATTTGTCTGGTTACTTTCTAGACCTCTTCCCAGATTGCCACAGCCTTTTTGTGATCACTGACATATGGACACTACAGCACTGGGTGAATTTCACCAGCATCTGAACACACTTTTTTTGCACTATGAAAACTCTGTCGGACCAAGTGACCACCCTGCAGAAACTCTACGGAGGGTCTCACGGAGAAGAGGGCTGACCGGACACCTTGGTGCTGTGCCTCCTCAATAAAGGTGTTTGTTTGTCCCCACTCAGGTACTGCAGAACTATTTAAGATGTATATTTATTGTAAGGAGGAAACGATGTGCTGTGCTTGACACTTTTTTTTACTGTATGAACATTGTGACTTTTTATTACAATTTGTTTGTTTTTACATGTTGAAAATAAGGTAACAAATCATGTTTTCCTTTCTTTATTGAGTGTTTTTTCCCTTCAGTTGAACTAATGCTGCGTTGACGCCATGTGATAATTACCGTAATTTTGAGATGACAATGTGACGTTCTACTTGGAACTGTCCACGTCCTTGGACTGGGAATTATGCGTTTCTACTGTATGTAACACTATCAATGCCTAAATTAATCTGCAGCGGTCAGGTGGTACAAGTAGGAGCTCTCAGAAAATTCCCAGCTTACAAGTTGTAATTAAAAGCTCTATGAGGACTTGAATGCTTTTTACAAGTTGAAATCTCATATTCACGGGAATTACGACATTGTGTGAATGCACATTTCATGGTAAGAATTACGTTGGTGTTGTGAAGATTAAAAAAAAACCCTGCTTTATAATGACGCAGCATGTCTGGGATACTGGAGTATAAGCAACACGAAATCTGTAAGGCTAAACACAGAGCGCTGGAATGGAATTTTGCCACTATGTGCAAAAAAAAAAAACCCTTCATAATTACTTGAATGAGGCATGTCATGAAGGAGGAAGTGATGTGAGCCATTATTGTTCAGTCATAGTTCAGTCATCTGTGGCAGTCACTTCCTTAAAATCATGTGCTTGAACAAATGCACTGAACTATCCCTTTAAGGCCCGTTCACACCGAGGACGATAGCTATATTGCGAATGATTAAGATTCATTCTAAATAAAAAAAAAGTACCAAGTGATTATTATTTTTTTCAGCTGATGAACAATAAAAACATTGACAGCCAATCAGAATGAATCCTGCTTTAAGAGCTCAAGCATTTAAAGCATCAGGCAACATAACTGCAGTGCATGCCTAGAATAAACAGAACTGTATCATCTGCTGGTGTGGGCACTAGTTATTGTTATCTGTAACTTTATTATTTTTGGTGTTAACGGGCCTTTACTATAACTTTAACCCCAAGCATTCAACTATTTGTGCTACAGACATCATGAATGATACCTCAAATCATGCGGCTTCTTGAGGAGAGATGTGATTTTACTTTTCCTAGCCATTTTTTGCAGGCTAAAGATCCCATTGAGAAGCCGAGCCATATCTATAGAGTGCAGAATATGCATAACAATGCCATGTCAACCATATCTTCAGAAAATTTAAAAATATGTCAGTATTTATAGTCCAAACACTTGAAGGGTTGTGATGTTCCTTTTGCAATATGTTTTGAAACATTCAGAGAATTTCAAGTGATAACGCAAAATATGTAGTGACACCACAGCCCTTAAAATATCACGGAATCGCAGATCAGCATTCCCACTGAGCCATCAGGATCCAGCAGCTGTCATGTGTGTCTTTCTGTGCTGTATACACATGTTCTGTGAAATATCTTGAGGTTATAGATGTTGAATTTTCTGTACTGTATTTCTTGTATAATTTCTGACAATATACACTACCGTTCAAAAGTTTGGGGTCAGTATGATTTTGTTCAAATAATAAATACTTTTATTCGGTAAGGATGCATGAAATAGATCAAAAGTGACCGTAAAGACAATGTAAAAAAAAAAAGATTTCTATTTCAAATAAATGCTGTTCATCAATGCTCTTGTTGATGCTCATCATTTTTTTAATAAAAGTATCCTTAAAAAAATGCATGATGCTTTCTACAAAAATATTAAGCAGCATTTTCAACATTGATAATAATAAAAACTGTTTCTTGAGCATTAAATCAGCATATTAGAATGATTTCTGAAGGATCACGTGCTACTGAAAATCAGCTTTGCCATCACAGGAATAAATTACATTTTAAAATGTATTAAAATAGAAAACAATCATTTTAAATTGTAAAAAATATCCCACAATATTACTATTTTTGCTGTATATTTGATCAAATAAATGCAGATTTGGTGCAAAAAAAAGACATCTTTTAAATACATTAAATCTTACCAACTCCAAACTTTTGAATGGTTAAAGTAGTCTCTTTAGCCAAATAGCCATCTTTCACTACCCTCTAATGAACATGTTCGACATCAAGATGATGTAAAGTACATAGGATATAGTAAATATCACTGCTGGTGTGTGTCACAACAATGGCATTTATACACAATAAGTGGTTCTCTCTCGCCTATAACACAACTCTCTTTATGCACAGCTGGACTCACAGTTATTCATAAACTTATGGGACTGTTGTTCTGCTTGGTACTTCACCCTGAGGAGGAAATTGCACTTTCCACATAATATTCCAACGTTGTTGCTTTGGGACTGTAACATACCCAGCTGTAACAGTATTTCATTCGAGCCAAGCCTGTGTGTGTGTGTGTGTGTGTTTATGTTCTTGTTTACCTAGTCACAGCAATGTATGTACATTTCACCTTTTTATATGCACTCATGTGGATGTATTGAATGCTCACTGATGTTTTTTGTACAAAATCTGTCATCAAGATTATTGCTTCATTTTTGCTCAGCTTTTTTTATTTCTATGAATTAAGATAATAAAAGGGAAATGTGAAGCCTTCAAAAAATTGTAACTGGATACTTTTGGTAATGCAAGCAAGGACTTGAACGAGAATAATAAATTAGGGTATTACTATTGTGAATTCAATGTCATTTTATTTTACACTACAGAAACATTTGAGTTTTACTCAAGGCTTTAATGTAATATGATATCAAGATAAGGATCATTTCTTGTCTCCATAACAGAACTGTCCTGACGATGTCAGTCTTGAATCTTCCATGCTTATTTTATCCAGCAAGTTTATGATGTTCTGAAACATAAATAGTCTTTTTGTTCCAAGCTACAAAATAGCATTAATCCGTTCATATATAGTTTGTCAGGTTACCTGTCTCCCAAATGCTTTCGCCATATCCGCTGCACCTGCTCCATACTACATTGGGGTGTAAATATAATTTTATCATGAGTTATCAGTTCTCCTCTGCTCTGGCAGAATGTTTTATTGCACTCCTATTGTTTAATCATTTATGGATTATGAATATCATAATGATCATAATCTGACTGTTACCTCGTTCTTCAAATGGTGATCTGCCCCACTGTCAAGCAGAAGTTTCACCAGCTCAACATGGTTATTCAGCACAGCAACCTAAAAAATTACAACCAAAAGCCTGCAATAACGTAATCCATCTTGTCCACGACAATTCTAGTGGCTGTTTTGATGATAAATACCATCAATGGTGTCTTGCCAGCCTTGTCACGGACATTTACATCAGCTCCAGCCTGGAGGAGGACAGAGGCCACCGCAGCGTTCCCACTGATGGCTGACACACGCATGAGAGGAGTCCAGAGAGACACTTTATCCATCACATCCACCTGTCAGAGGACAAAAACACAGATGTGTTAAACTGACAATACAGGGTCTAACTCAACATTTGACAGAGTAGTAGGCCCTCCCAGATGGTACATCTGTCAAAAGAGGTTTCATTTATGTGAAATATCATTGCTAAAGATCTAAAAGCTAAAATATCAGTGATAACTGGTCATAAATACTTTTAAACTAAAAATAAGAAAGTTTACTTTCAGTCTACTTCTCAGAAATATACGTTACTTCTCACAAATATGCTTAAAACTACATTTAAAGGGATACTTCACCCAAAAAATTTAATTCTGTCATCATTTACTCACCCTAAAGTTGTTGCAAACCTGTTTGAGTTTCTTTTTTCTGCTGAACACAAAGGAAGATATTTTGAAGAACGATTGGAACCAAACAGTTGTTTGACACCATTGACTTCCATAGTAGAAAAAAAAAAATACTATGGAAGTCAATGGTGCCAAAGTTCCAATCGTTCCTCAAAATATCTTCTTTTGTGTTCAGCAGAAAAAAGAAACTCAAACAGGTTTGCAACAACTTGAGGGTGAGTAAATGATGACAGAATTTTCATTTTTGGGTGGAGTATCCCTTTAAGTATACTTAAAGCTGCAGTCCGTAGTTTTTCCTCTTTGTCATCATCTCTGTTCAAAATCTGCAATTGCAGTTATTCGAGGAATTATCAACTTTACATGGGTTGTGCCTCGGCACGGAACAGTGTGGATGAATCCAATGTTTTGAGGAGAATGTGCGGCTGTCAGCAGTCATTCAGAACCACAGATTCTACTTTTTGGAAGTATGACCAACATAAGAATTTTCACCGGAAAATGTCATCTGAACAAGTAAGTAACACTTTTGTTCTGACCAACTAAGGGAAAAAAAGCATTGCAGGAAATCGCGCTGATCTAACGATCGCTTTCATATCACGTCAAACCGTGCAAATTATCCTTTGTTCTCAAATGATTAATGTTAACAACATCAGCATTGCGTGACTACATTTAATGCCCTTCAGATATTATCCTTGTTTTCGCATGGGCCCGGTTGCAGTCTCTTTTTTTCTGTAGCCACTCCGAAGTCCGAAGTCTTTTGCATTTTACAGCGGGTGAATCTCCAGCACTGGTGATTGTCGTTTGAACCTTTCTGGATTTAATTATAAGTTTAATTATATCAAGTGCTGTGAGAAAAGGCTATAAATCTCCACCTCCAACATCCTCACACGCAAAATAGCCTACTAGCCGAGACTCCTTCTTTATGTGTACAGATGTGACGTAATGACTCAATATAGCCTACTAGCCGAGACTCTTCTTTATGTGTACAGATGTGACGTAATAACGCAAAGACAAGCTCGAATCTCCCATGGAAATCCACCAGTACCACTGGAATTAAAAACATTATTACAAGCTTACCGTTTTGAATCGAGCTAAGGCAAGCAGAGAGTTTTGAACACTGGCTGGTTATGTACTTGCTAAAAATTTATTTTGGATAATTTTTAACCTAAAAAAGTTACGGAATGCAGCTTTAAAAAAAAAAACATTCACACAAAAAACTCCCAACAACATGAGCTATAGAAAATTACAAGTGATCTACACTGTAAAAAGTGATCATTTGACTTAACTTTAAAAAAGCGAGGAAACCGGTTGCCTTAATATTATTAAATAAATCAACTTCATGCGTAGGTGAAAAAATTAAGTTATGTTGAAAAAATTAAGTTATGTGGAATTGTCAAGGTCACATAACTTCAAGTTTTCAATTATGCTTGAAGTTTATTACTTAATTTTAAGGCATGGGTTTCCTCACTTTTTTATGTTAAGTCAACTGATCACTTTTTACAGCGATGCAATTGAAAACACAGCAAGTCTATCCCTCACAGCCTCGCTTTCATACCTGTTATGGTGCTGCTCTGAATAAGGTCTAAACTTGTACTCAATATTTTGATCGAGATGTACTTAAAAGTATAATTAAGAATTCTAAGTATACTTGGCTTGTAGTTGTGTTCACTCTTTTGACTGAGAAGCCTATTAAACAGGCCTATTTTTCACACAGTTACATACTTTCATTGTTTGAAAATATTGATTTACAATGAAAACATATATGATTATTTGATTTTTTTTGTGTAGTCCACTGTGTACATAGAAATTTACTTTAAAGTACATTAAAGGTGTATTTCAAGTATAAAAAATAATACCTAAATAGTAACATAGTTGGATACTTAAAGTGCAAAAATAATACATAAATAGTAAACTATAAGTATGATTTTAAGTTCACTAAAAGAAAACAAGTAGCCTATACTATAAAACTTCTAAACGATAGTTTACTGAGAGTATATTTCAAAGTGTACTTGCATAAACTAAAAAATGTCCTACAAGTATTTAACTAGTAAACTATACCTATAAGTTCACTTGTAGTATAGTTGCAGTAAAAAAAAAAAAAAATTAGTTGTAAACTAGTTGTGCATCCAAAGCTTACTATTGTTACACTTAAAGTATACTTAAAAGTATAGGCTACTTTTATACACTAAAAAGTGAGACAATTTAATCCCAAGTAGTACTGAAATAGTACACTTACAAATATATACTACTAGTAGTACATTGATATTAGTATACTTACTACATAAAGTATACTTACATTTATACTTAAACTTAACTGAAGTATACTTAATAAAATTAACTTTTCGTTTCAAACCTACTTTAATGTATACTAAAGTTTGACCATATGGTTCTTTCCACTTGACATCACATCAAATGACCTCTGACCTCACAACCATCTTGGATCATGTATGTAATGACAGGCAGGTGTCCTCCATCCACAGCCCAGTGGAGCGGCGAGCATCCATCCGTGTCTCGAGACTGCCATGTTGACCCGCAGTTACGCAGGTACTTCACCATATCCAGGTGACCAGAGTAACAGGCCTGCATTAGACTGAAAAAAAAACACATGCATAGATAAACAAAATTGAGTAGATGACATGAAAGATTATAAAATGAAACTGCAGAGCTGCACTGAAAAGGCATACGCAATCTCACCTGTTTTTTCCAGTGCTATCTCTCTTGTTAATATCAGCTCCGTGCTTCACCAAAATGTCTGCTAAGCTACAAACCAAACAGAAGCTGATCTCAAGTAGAAATTTATGACTGAGATTCAGTAGCTCGCTGCTAAATTAGCTTTAGAAACATCAGACGCAAGTTTACCTGGTGAAACCTTTCTGTGCTGCTACCATGAGAGGGGTGAAACCCATTTTGTCATGAACATCCACATTGACCATTCTAGGGAGAGGAATTACATATAAGGGGTTATGAACAATACGTGAACTTGTATTTAAAGGGATAGAAAATGAAAAATCTTAGCTTCATGTTATTCCAAACCTGTATGGGTCAAATGTCCCCTTGATTACTACAATGTTAGTACTAATATAGCATATGAAAAGGTGATTTTGTGGTCTTCCAGGTGGTCAGTGGGTCTCACCTTGACTGTAACACTGTGGTCAGCTCCTGCTCATTCTCCCTGTTCAACGCCTGGTGGAGGTTCTTCCCACTGAAAGGCTCTCCTGTGGTCACACCATCAGAACATTGACCAAATACACTACCGTTCAAAAGTTTGTGGTTGGTTAGATTTTTTGAATGCCTCTTATGCTTGCCAAGGCTGCATTTATTTGGTCACAAATACAGTAAAAAAAAGTAATATTGTGAAGTATTATCACAATTTAATATTTTGTTAATTTTATTTAAAAATATATTTTTTTTGTCCTGTGATGTCAAAGCTGAATTTTCAGCAGTGTCTCATGACCCTTCAGAAATCATTCTAATATGCTCAGTGTTTGGGAAAGTTACTATTAAAAGCAACGCATTACAATATTGTGCTACTCCCTTTAAAAAGTAATGAATTGTGTTAGTTACTTTTTATGAAAAGTAATGTGTTACGTTACTTTTGCGTTACTTTTTCTCACCTGGGCTAAGGCTTGCTTGTTTGCTTGTTTTTTTAATAACAAAAAATGTCTATTTTTGGCAAATGTAAAGGCCCTTTCACACCAAAAGTGAAATAAATAAGCCTCAGGCTGAAGGAAATGCAAATTCACAGCTGTACAGTAGAGGGCGCAGCTAAAAAAAACCTTTCAACTGTGCTGCCATTGATGGCAGAGTAGTACAGGAGAAGAAAATTCAACACTTGCTTCAGCAATAAAAAAAAAATGAAACACAAATGTAATATTTATCGAAAGTTACTTTTGCTTATTAGATCATCAAAGGTCAGCAATAAAGACATTGGTTAATAAAGTGAGATTAAATACAAAGTATATTTGTGTTATTTTTTACACAATATTCTGAGTTTGCATTCCACTGTTTTTATTCATTTTTAGGAGTACTGAATCTATTTTTGTGCAAGTGAGATAAGTAAATGCATGCTCACGTTTAGTCTAGAACTACAGTAACCATCATGTTTACAGAGCGCACACAACGCCCTTTCTTCCAACTTCTCTCAACACAGGGACAGGTGATGTGTCAGTCTATATGGGAAATCAAAGTAACTTGCGGTACTTATTTGAAAAAAGTTACTCAGATATGTTGTTGTAAATGTAAAAGTAATGCATTACTTTAGCACTTACTTGAAAAAAGTAATCTGATTATGTATATTGATATCAGTGTTGAAAAAAAGTTGTGCTGCTTAATAATTTTGTGAAATATTTTCATGATTTGTTTTAGGGATTCTTTGATTAATAGAAAGTAAATAAAAAAAACAGCATTTATTTGAAAGATAATTTTGTTTTGTAGCATTATATATATGTGTTTACTTTCACTGTGTTGATCAATATAATGTGTTCTTGCTGAGTAAAAGTAGCCAATTAATCTTTTTTAAAGGACCCCAAACTTTTGAACTATTTTTTTGAAGAGTTTTTGTTTCTAATCAATAAAAGCAAGGAAAATAAGATTTGAAATAGGTCAAGTCTTTGACTGGAGGTAAAATCTCTTACGGTTGGTGAAGACAGAGACTGCAGGGCTGAAGCTGCACTCCCCTGAAGGTCTGGTGACCATCAGCCTAAAACTGTAATAGGTGCTGGACTTCAATCCTTCTACAACATGCCGGGTGCTGTACCCTCTGTGATAAAACACCAAAACAGGGCTGTGTTGCTGAAAGGACAGTTTAAATATGTGGTAATAATTGAAGTATTTAAAGAAATAATCAGTCAGAGAGATGGGACACTGACATGTATATGGAGCTGAATGTGTGTGTTTTGGGGTCCATCTGTTCCACAGAGAAGTGGGTCCAGTGTTCAGGGGGGCCAGTTCGAGATTTGTTCTCTTCATTCATCCAGCTCATCTCGATACTGTGGTGACTGACCTTCCCAATCACAGGTGGCTGAGGGAGGTCTGGAGATTTTGCTGGAGAAACAGAGAAAATAAGGCACATTCTTAACATCATGTACATTGTTTGTATTAAAGTGTAGGATTGATGTGAATTTTAGGCATATCTTTGCAGTCATTTCCAACACAGTTATGTTACTTTTTGTTAACCATATGCGAGTTTTGTTAAGGGCTGAAACCCAAACCAATCTAAACCAATCTATTAATATGCAGTTATCTGATACTGCAGCATCCATGGAATGATTTTGCTATTCAGGTGTGACATACTGTATGGGTAAACAGCAGCCTATTGTTTCATCTTAATAAAGGTCATGGATATCATGTAACAATGCACCAAGAATAACTAACAGAAGATTGTTCCTGGATTAGTAATTAAGTTAAAAGATTATCCATTACTTTTTGCAGGAGAAAACGTTTTCTTTTCCCAATCAGATGTAGCATAATTTTCCAAATAAATAAATACATTTGTATTATATAAATCAAATATAAGAGAGGAATAAAGGAACTTTATGTAGTATAAGAAAATAAATTTATTGAAGGTATTTTGTGGTGGTGTTGTTTTGAATAAAGCTTGTTCCTGGATTAGTGATGATAAGTTAAACGATTATCCATTACTTTTTAATCACTGTTGCTGGAGAAAACTTGAGGATGTTTTTTTTAATGCAGCTCTTTAAAGTTAAAAAACAGTATTGATATTTTAATAAATGTAGGCTATTAACATGTATAATATATATACGTTTTTTTTCTTATATTAATCAAATAGAGGAATAAAAACTATATGGTATATGAAAATTATTGAAATCATTTTGTGGTGTTGTTTTGAATAAAGTTTGTCTGAAAAACTTTTAAACAATTCTATCAAGCATTACGTAACTTATTATGCTGCCTGCAGTTTTCATCTCTTCTTTCTGTTTTCCTCTATTAGGCTATATTTTACAAACGTAAACAAGTTTTTTGGAAATATGTTTTTTATGTTGATAAAATGCCCTGACAATAAACTAGTAGCCACGAAACACAAATCAAATGTCTACCTGGGTTCATCGTCTCAGTCAGCGTCCTTGTATCGAGAAATTCCCCACACGGAGGATGATAGTTCTGCTGCTGTGTGTGTGTGTTTGTCTCTCTCAAACACATCTGACTGCGAGCACTGTCGTCATGGTGACAATATGACATAGTCGGTGCTGCAGACAGGCCATTGTTTATTGCACGAAACACGAGTTTCCCTATTTCAGCATATTGTTTTTGTTTAAACATGAGAGCGAAGTAGCCACGGTTATCAAGACTGAACCTTGTTAATGTTGTTTACCCTGCACTAGTCACTTTCATCATTTGGGGCTCTATTGTGATGATGAGATTAAATGACCACATGACCACTTAAAATCTCTGCCGCTGCGCGTCCCAGCGGTGATTCAGTGCGCTTATGACGGTAAGACCGAATCGGTTCTTTTGAACAATTCTTTAACAATGTTAAAGAACTGGGTCAAAAAGATTCAGTAATTCTTTTACGTCATCACGTGGTCCATGGTAAATTACATGATTATACATGACTCTTTTTTTATGTTTTACACACAATTTCTACCCAATAAAATATTTTATAGAAGGCCTATATATTTTTAATATTATAAAAAAATGTAGACCTATAGGCTACTCAATAAAACAATGCTTGTGGTTATTTTAAAATGTTATAAAATGTTAATGTTAAATGTTAAATCAAATTAATAAATATTAAATTCATCTTGAGGCCCACTTGGAATTTTGCTGAGGCCCAGGCCCCCTTATGGGCCCCGGCTCCTGGTTGAGAAACACTGATGTAGACGACAACATTTTATTAATAAGTGTTGTTGTTGTTGTTGTTTTTCATTCATGTATCCACATTTAGCTTGTTTGGTACCTAAACATACATTTACAACAAACAATAGGCCTACTACTTTACATTATTTATTAAAAAAACAACTCAGTTTCATGTTTCTATTATTAAAAATCCTTGGTGCACTTAAAATGCTATTACCATGCTGACTCGAGAACCACTCGGACCGATTCAGTGCAACTGGTAAACGAACCGATTTTGTTCATTAAAAGGATCCGACTCCAAAAAAACGATTCATTCACGAATCGAACATCGCAAGTGCGCTGAGCGGGACAACTGATGACACAAAGAGTCTGTATCGCCTGAGCGCGGGTCTCTAAAACTTATCTGGACGAGGTCATCTATTTAAGGCCATAAATATGTCACATAATTAATAGAGCGTATCATCGTATCGTAAACAGACAGTCAACTTGTTCCTTTTGATTTATTTGTGCAATTGAAGAGAGAGGTGAATTAGGAAAGCGACGGAGATGGAGCCATCAACAGATGTGGAAAAACTACCCGAAACCAACGAAACTCAAGATATTGATTCGGATGATCTGCTGGAGTTAAATCAGTTCGACGGGCTCCCTTTTTCTTCAAGATATTACAAACTATTAAGAGAAAGAAAAGGTCTGCCGGTGTGGGGAGCGAAATGCGAGTTTATGGACAGTTTGATCAACAGTCAGATTGTGATAGTTACTGGCACAGCTAAAACAGGACAAAGCACTCAGGTGAGTTTATGTGTTTATCATAGAACATGGGTATTAATTTGTGCTTTAAAATGCTATTAAATAAGTATTTTAATTGTTTTTTTTACTCATATTATTCCATATTCTCCCCTAAAGGACACATTAGGGCTAAATTTTGAACTGAATTGAGGTTATCGTTATTGAATTTAATGTGAACACATTGCTTCATCTTTAATGGAAATGAAAATAAAGTAAATGGACGGGGCAGATACAACGTATTCACTACTAGTTTAGCATTGAAAGTACCAAAAGTATGTTATTTGTGAGTTTTATTTTTGAGCAAGTGTTATCCGACTTAATCTTCATTTAGATCCCTCAGTGGTGTGCAGAGTTTTGCCTGTCTACGCAGTATCAGAATGGCATGGTAGTGTGCACTCAGATTCACCAACAGAGCACGGTGGAACTGGCCCTCCGTGTGGCCGACGAGATGGACGTGAACATCGGCAATGAGGTTGGATACAGCATCCCACTTCAGACCTGCTGCTCCCCTGACACTGTACTGAGGTGTGTATATGATCCAGAGGCATCTTCAGAAATGTAAAGCCTGCACAACATTATTTGGTCATTTGCCCTGGACATTTTCATCCATGAAATGTCACTATCTGCCCCTCCCCCCGTCATTACCACCACACGTGCATCTCCTTTTCAGGGGCGCCTGTCCTTCTCTAAACAATATAAAAGCTAACAAAAGGCTGAGGGGGCTCGGTCTGAGGGTCTCCACGGCAGCTGCCGTACTTCCATGCTACCCATATGCTTCATCAAACCTTTCAGAGCCGCCATAAGTCAGCCTGGCGAACAAAGAGCCAGAACAGTGATTAGAACAGCTGAGAGGGTCTGACTTAATGAAAATGCTGACCTTAAAGAAAACACTGAAAATTCCCAAAGTAAATGATCATCTAATCGTGTCTGCTTGTCTTCACTTAGCTCGTTATTTTTGTTTGTAGATGCATTCAAGAAGGATTTTGTATTTAATAGCACTCTCGAAGAGGCCTGCAATGACATCTGTTGCTTTGCAGGTACTGCACAGATGATGTGCTGCTCCGGGAAATGATGTCGGACCCCCTCTTGGAGCAGTGTGGTGTGGTGGTCATTGATCAGGCCCAGGAACGCACCGTCAGCACAGACCTGCTCCTCGGGCTGCTCAAAGACGTGCTCCTCGCACGGCCAGAGCTCAGACTGGTCATCCTCACTGCCACTCACTCCGCTGAGAAACTGCTACGACACTATGGAAGCGTTCCTCAGATCCGGCTGGAAGGGCCACAGCCGTGCGAGGTGGTGTATGGGAGTGGGAGAGGAGGTGTGAAGGATTACCTCTGCTCTGCTCTTAGACTGGCGCTGGAGATACATCAGAATCAAAACCATGGAGACATTGTGACATTTCTGGCAACTGAGCAAGTAAGAGACATTTAAACGTTGATAGATGAGACAGTGCTGCTGGACTAGTTGTTTTACATTTTGTTGACTTTTTTGAAAATATTTATTATTTACAAATAGTTTTATAAATTAACAAATAAATTTTTTTCTTTAAACTATCATATAATATAGTCGTTTTATTTTTTATAATTAATATTTATAAATTAATTTAATTTATTGCATTTATTTAGGCCTATGAATAAATATAATGTCCGATTATTTAAAAGTTATTTTAAAGTAATTATTAAAATTTTAAACTAAAACAAAAAATAATTATCTATAACATATCTATAATATAATAATGTTTTATATGTTTACTTTATTTTGCATTTCAGGTGTGTAATTTCATATCTGCAAAATAAATAATCATATTTATTGAATTTATTAATTTATAAAAAATTATTTGTTGAAAATTAATGGTAATGTCTTGTGTGTAAAAAGACACACAGATTTAAGGACTCCGTCTCAGTTGTAGTTTTAGGGTGTGTTCACACTTGGCAGGTTTAGTTTGATGAAAACGACCCCTGGTGCGATTGCTCTGTTAGTGGGGTTCATTTGAAGTGTGAACGCTGCCATCCGAACCCTGGTGTGCACCAAACAAGCGGACCCCTGAAAAGATGGGTCTCGGTCCATTTCCAAATGAACTCTGGTGAGGTTCGAATGAAATATGAACGCAACACGGACCAAAGACATATAAACGGACCACAAACAGGACGTGATGCCACAAAATGCGACCCTAAAAAGGACAGAATGCTCAAGTATACCAGTTTTTTCGCGCCATAGTCGCGATGTTGCCCATCATCACAGTTCAGTACAGGCATCAGAACCGCGTCTCCACGCAGCAGGTCTTCGTTTGTGTGTGTGACGGAATGATTCCGTTTTATAGGCTCTTCACGAGTTGTCAGCTCCATCATATGAACGGCACGCACATATAGCACACGTTTGTCCAATCAATCACACAGCATTGTTTTGGATGTTCGACAAGTTCCATTACAAAATATACATCTTAAAAGCCTTTTTTTTTGTATCTTTAGGTTCAGTGTTAAAAATTACAGTGTGAACGCTAAGTTAACCAGGACTAAATTAATCATTTTCTTTTTTGTTATGGACCAAGAGAATCAAGAGAACCAAACTACAAGTGTGAACACACACAACCTCACAGTCTTTACTAAAATTTGATGTTTTTATTGTGTATATTTGTATGTACTGTATATTTCATCTCAACCTGTGTGAGCCCAGGCAACTGGCAGATCATTATTTTAATGGATCCTTAGTTTTAGTGCCATGTAAATGTCCCCCTGTCTTTCTTCGACATATCTAGCATAGAACTGAAAAAGGTCCCATTGCCATGGTAATAGAAACTTTTCTTTCTTGTTTCATTTTCAAGGAGATTGAATGTGCCCATGCCATTTTGCGGCGAGAGGGTGTCAATCTTGCATTGTCTCATGGCGAGCTGGTGCCCGTGTCTCTGTGCCCTGCGCAAGGAGACAGTCTCTCACTGCTCTCTGAGGAGAGCAAGAGTAGGAGAGTCTTCCTCACCTGCAGCCCCAGTGAAGACTTATTCTGGGCCGTTCAGAGCATTCGCTTTGTGATTGATGCTGGAGTGCAAAAAAGATATGTATGTAGTGATCGTTTCATTTTATTTTGAACTTTACGGACTATACCTTATTATTAGCTCTGCTTTTATACATTTTCATTGGTGGACATGAAACAGTGATGTTTCATTGTGACAGGTTTACAATCCTAGAATCAGAGCCAACTCCATTGTTATTCGACCAATCAGCAAGAGCCAAGCTGAGAGCCGAAAACAACTTGCAGGCCCAACAGGTGAGTGCTTTTTGCTTTCTAAAATTATAAAATAAAGATATATAAAATAATTAAATATTTCCTCATACACTAGCGTTCAAAAAGGTTGGGGTAGGTTTTTTTTTTTAACCCTCTACTGCACAGTGTTGCCATATGGAAACATACCCTTTCTTTGGACATTTCTTGAAATTTGAAAATAAACATGAGCTCTGATTGATCTTAAATTCATAATAGAACCCGGTGGTAACCAATGATATGCTTTGATGACATCACGACACTACACACACCCTTGCAACGTCATTCTTTTCACACACTTTTGATGACTCCAGCTGCTGAAAAAGTGCTCGTGTATATGTGAAGATTTTCCTCATTTTTTTCATATTTCTTCGGAATAAAAAAATACATCAAGCATCTGGGATAAGTTCTAATCTTTTTTCAATCATTGTCACATTGTTTTGATACTTATATTACTGGAGTTTTTCGAGTCCTGCCCGTTCCACAGATGATTACATTTTTTAATTTTCATCTCAGTGCTTCTAACTCAGTGGCTGTAAGTGGGTTAGGAATAGGATTTCAAGTGATTTTGAAAAAATGGTCAAAAAAGAAAATCACATACCCCACCTTTAACGGAGAGAACAACTAGCTGCTTTAAGGCGTTTCACATCGAGTAGTTTCACTTGAACAGTTCTTATGAGTTTGCGTCAGATGTTTTGTAAATGTTGTTGAAATAATCGTTTCACATTGAGTAGTTTCACTTGAACAGTTCTTATGAGTTTGCGTCAGATGTTTTGTAAATATTGTTGAAATAATACTTTGAAAATTAGTTTCATATTTTGTACACAAAGCTCTTGAAAACATTTTAAATAATAACAACAATTTCATTTCTAAAAGACAGGTCTGTAATCATCTATGAATTTCATATCATTTTGGGAGAAAACGCATCAGGCTGTTCCATTGTCGCACAATGTTGCCATATGGCAACGTACCCAAAAGTACCCCTCCCAAAAAAACAAAAAAAAAAAACAAAAAAAAAATGTTAATTTGAGTCTATTTTATATATAAAAAAACACTGTAAAATTTTTTTCCATGATTGCATAATAATGCGTGCAGTAGAGGGTTAAGTAAGTTATATTTTTATTCCGCAAAGAAAAGACACATTAAATTGATCAGCAGACATTTATAATATCAAAAATGTCTACATCAATTAAATGCTGTTCTTTTAAACTTTCAATTAATCAATGAAAAAAAAAAAGTATCACGTTTTTTCACAAAAATATTAAGAACAACTGTTACACTTAATTTTGATGGTCCACTTTAGATATTCTGTTGACTACATAACGTTGCACCTAAATGTCAACTAACTCTCGTATTAGTTGAGCATTAGTAGACTTTTAGGAATAGGATTAGGGTTAGTAGAATAAGGGGTTATGGGTTAGTAGAATAAGTTGACATGTACTTGCAAAGTTTCTTATAGTCAGAAGGATGTCTGTTGCAGGAGCATCAAAATAAAGTGTTAGTAGTTATTAAGCAGACAGTCTGCTGCTAATACTCTAATGAGGGTTCGTTGACATGTAGTTGCAAAGTTACTTATAGTCAACAAAATGTCTAATCAAAATAAAGTGTTACCAGAACAACTGTTATCAACATTGACTGTGATAAGACATGTTTCTTGAGCACTAAAATGGGCCTGGCATATTATGATTTCTGAAGGATCATGTGACACTGAAGACTGGAGTAATGAACTGCCCTCAGAGGAATAGATTCCTTTTTAAAATGTAATAAAACAGAAAACAGTTATTTTAAACAGTTATTTCACAATGTTAATGTATTTTTGATTAAATAATTGCAGCCTTGGTGAGCATAAGAGACTTATTTCAAAAACATTAAAAAAAACTTACCAACCCCAAACAAAACGATGATCAAAAACATAGATGGAGTAGATCGAGTCCATCAACGCCCCCAAAGCTTATAGTCCTATACCTCGTCCTGGGTCGACATTTGATTCTGTAACATTAGACAGTTTGGATTTATATGCTGTTTAAAGTTGACGATCACATTTGTTTGTTTCTGCTTCTTCTTCGCCTGTGTTTTGATCAAGAGATATTGAATTATTTCAGACGTCATAGCGCCCCCTACCGGATAACAGTGAAAACACGGAAAGCCGTAAATTTCTGTAAAAATAAGAGTGTCTCTGACTGGCATGTATTGATCGAGAGACGTTTCATGTATGCAGGCAAGTGTTTCTGTTTGTATCAAGAGGACACGTCACTTCCTGTTGAGAGCGTCCCTCACATTCTTGAGTCTGACATCACTTCCACTGTGCTCTTCCTAAAGCGCATGGAAATTGCTGGCCTGAGCCACTGTGACTTTATTGACAGACCAGGTGAGATCCTTTTTATTTAATCAAACCTCTTACTTCCAAATCAAAAAAAGCCCACTCTAGATCTGGCTCAGGTCCTGCCCTCAATGTAAATGTAAGGGATTTTTTTTTTTTTTTGCACTACTATTGAAATATTGTGTAATCTATACTAATTTCAAACAGTGAATGTATGCAGTGAAAGTTCACTCTCCGCTGTTTACAGCAGCCAAGCAAAGCTGGGATCATCCAGGTTCTCTTGGCTCACAGTAAGGGTGCAGATGGGCCTGTTCTGCTCACTGCTGGTATTAAGAGGTGGTGGGCCGTGCTTTAGCTGAGCCGACAGCACTCTGACTGCTGTTACATGTGTGTCCTGAGTTTCCCCCCGTTCATTGTGTATTTGGTTTAGTCCTGTGTTCGTTTTCCCGCTCCTCGTTTGTGTTCAGTTCCTTCACCTGTGTCTAGTTAATTTGCCCCAGCTGTGCCTTGTTCCCCAATCTGTTCTCTGTGTATGTAAACCCTGTGTTCTCCCTCACTCCTTGTCGGTTCTCGTTCGTATGTACGTTTGTATATGGTGTGTTAGTGTTTTCTGGATTCCTGGTCTGAGTTATTTAGTAAAGTTTATTGTATTTGATCTGCTGACTGCTGCCTCTCCTTCAACCTGCACCACACCCGTAACAGAAGAACCGACCTAAAAGGAAAAGGAAAAAAAGAAGAGGAAGATGGAGATCTGGGAGCTCGCGGGACAGATCACGGCTTTGGCGCTGGATAGCCGTGATCTGTTCCACTTTACCTGGGGCTTTGTTCCACTCGCTGCCTCCTGCTCGCTGGGCGATGAGATAATCAAGGCGTGTTACCGGCGAGGGGCCAAGGTGGTCGACCCAAGGGAACTTCCAGATCTCTCTGGTCTGGACTGGAGAGAGGCACTCTCCAGATGTCTGGAGAGCTTTCTCCCATGGCACGCCGTGTCCGCACCGCTGGTTCCGTCCAGCCCAGCCAAGCCCGCACCGCTGGTTCCGTCCAGCCCAGCCAAGCCCTCATCGCTGGTTCCGTCCAGTCCAGCCAAGCCCGCACCGCTGGTTCCCTGCAGCCCTGCCGAGCCAGAGCTTCCCTGCAGCCCTGCCGAGCCAGAGCTTCCCTGCACGCCTGCCGAGCCAGAGCTTCCCTGCAGCCCTGCCGAGCCTGAGCTTCCCTGCAGCCCTGCCGAGCCAGAGCTTCCCTACACGCCTGCCGAGCCTGAGCTTCCCTGCAGCCCTGCCGAGCCTGAGCTTCCCTGCAGCCCTGCCGAGCCGGAGCTTCCCCGCACGCCTGCCGAGCCGGAGCTTCCCCGCACGCCTGCCGAGCCGGAGCTTCCCCGCACGCCTGCCGAGCCGGAGCTTCCCCGCACGCCTGCCGAGCCGGAGCTTCCCCGCACGCCTGCCGAGCCTGAGCTTCCCCGCACGCCTGCCGAGCCGGAGCTTCCCCGCGCGCCTGCCGAGCCAGAGCCTTCTCCGCTGGTCCCGTCCAGTCCTCCCGAGCCTTCTCCGCTGGTCCCGTCCAGTCCTCCCGAGCCTTCTCCGCTGGTCCCGTCCAGTCCTCCCGAGCCTTCTCTGCTGGTCCCGTCCAGTCCTCCCGAGCCTTCTCCGCTGGTCCCGTCCAGTCCTCCCGTGCCTTCTCCGCTGGTCCCGTCCAGTTCCCCCAAGCCTGTCTCTGAACCCGTCACTCCCCCCAAGAAAATTTTGGGGGGGGGATATAGGCCACCTGAAGAGACGTCTCCGCCCTGGCCACTGGAAGGGGCGTCTCCACCCTGGCCACCTGAAGTGGCCTCTCCACCCTGGCCTCCCGAAGTGGCCTCTCCGCCATGGCCGCCCGAAGGGGATTCTCTGCCATGGTCGCCCGAAGGGGATTCTCCGCCATGGCCGCCCGAAGGGGATTCTCCGCCAGGACCGCCCGAGGGGTGGTCTCCTATTCCACCATGGCCCCCTAACCAGCCTGCTCCGCCCTGGAGGCTTCCTGCTCAGGGTAGGCCACGCCCTCGTCAGCCTCCAGGGCGCCCGCCCCCCCACCCCTATTGAAGTTATACGGCGCGAGGACGCGCCTTTTTGGAGGGGGCGTTATGTTACATGTGTGTCCTGAGTTTCCCCCCGTTCATTGTGTATTTGGTTTAGTCCTGTGTTCGTTTTCCCGCTCCTCGTTTGTGTTCAGTTCCTTCACCTGTGTCTAGTTAATTTGCCCCAGCTGTGCCTTGTTCCCCAATCTGTTCTCTGTGTATGTAAACCCTGTGTTCTCCCTCACTCCTTGTCGGTTCTCGTTCGTATGTACGTTTGTATATGGTGTGTTAGTGTTTTCTGGATTCCTGGTCTGAGTTATTTAGTAAAGTTTATTGTATTTGATCTGCTGACTGCTGCCTCTCCTTCAACCTGCACCACACCCGTAACAACTGCGTTCATTGTTCCAGAGATAACCTGCTTCCATAACACACACCAGTCAGATGAGCAGCATCATTAGTGGAGCTACGACAAGAGCGATGAACTTGTTTATCTCATGATGCAACTGAGGAAATATGTGGGGTGCTTTTGTTATGATGCCACAAATTAGTGAGAGTTTATTGTCTGTTTACTGTCTGCTCTGTCGGACTAACAAGCGTTTCTATTCAGAAAATGCATCGCAGCTAACAGTTGATAACCTTTTAATTTATTCCCACAATAATACTTGCTCGGGTGTTTTTTTCAAATACCTTATTCAGAGCAGCGCCATGACAGGTATGAAAGCGAGGCTGTGAGGGAAAGACTTGCTGTTTTTTCAATACCATCCACTGTGAAAAGCTGTATGAAGCTCCTAGATCACTTATAATTTTCCACAGATCATGTTGTCTAGAGTTTTTTATATCCACTGAAATTTCTTGGAAAGGTATTTTTGCTGTGTTTTGTTAGCAGAAAAATCCAAAAACACATTAAATAACAGTGCAAACCACTGAAGAGGTGCATGTCCATCCCTCACAGCCTCGCCTTTATTCCCGTTAAAAATCAAAGATGGCGCTGCTGTGAATAAGGTCTATAGTTTTTTATTTAAAAATGAAAGCCCATAATTGTACTGTTTTGATCTTATATTATTGAAATGAACCAGTCTGCTACTTTTAAAACAATAACTCATTTATTTTTATGAGTTAATTGCTTTATTTATTTTATTATTATTTATATACAATTTGTGTTATATATAATGTGTTTATTAGTACTTCGAATTAACTATTTTCGGGTTTTGTTTTTCTTTTTTACTGTCAAGTTTTAGTAATTTTATTGTGTGCTTTTGTCATATTTTTTAAATTCCTATTTAGCTTTAATTTATTTTTATTTCAGCTTGAGTTTCAGTAATTATAGCACTTCAACTACAGTAAAGAAAATAGTTTATCATCTAATATTTTATTTAATTTCAGTGCTATTTAATTTAAAGAAATGGATTTGAATGGTTTTAGTTAAGAATGACACCACTGGGTCAGTTTTTTTTTTAAATCAGCCTATCAACTATTCTGCATATTTTTCCAGAATAGATTAATGCCACACTTGGAAAACTGTGATTGATAGTTTGAAATATACTAAATATTTTAATTGACCCTACCATAGATCCAGAAGGCCTCATGCAAGCTTTAGAGGAACTCGACTATCTTGCTGCTTTGGATGATGACGGGAATCTATCTGAGATTGGAATTATCATGTCAGAGTTTCCTCTTGAGCCACAGATGGCTAAGACTTTGCTTGCGTCTTGCGAATTCGACTGTGTGAGTGAAGTGCTGACCATCGCTGCCATGCTAACAGGTAATCCTGTCTCAGTACAATCCACTCAACAGGTGCACCACCATGTGTCAGCACTTCCGATAGGACTTTGCTCCATCAAGTTATATTTGGAAATCATGTCAGATCACTGTTGTTGTACCAAAGTGACTGTACCTTTTTTACCCCATTAAAATGTATGGATAATTTAATCTCTACTAATAAATTCAGTTACTCCGCCACTATTATTATTATGAATACTAAAAAGAAAATACAATACTTTAACATTTATTTTATTATACTATATTTTGGTTTTTTATTATTATTATTATTATTATTATAACATTTAATTATAAAAAATGTATAATGAAAAAAAAAAAAATTTACACAAAGAACATACATTTAAGCTTTAAATTGCTCTCTCTCTCTCTCTCGCTCTCTCTCTCTCTCTCTCTCTCTCTCTCTCTCTCTCTCTCTCTCTCTCTCTCTCTCTCTCTCTCTCTCTCTCTCTCTCACTCTCACTTCCGGTGTGTCTGGGTGCGAGTTGACCGAGTGTGAGCGTGGCTGGAGAGCTTGTGAGTGAATTTGTCATTTTCTATTTTTTCCCTTGCTGGTTTTTCTGGTCTTTTCTTTTGATTAGTTTGTTGGGCCGCTTGCTATCCACTTAGTTGGGAAGCATGTCGGCCCCACGCGTGCAGGTTTTGAGTTCACTTACGCGGCGTAATGCGGTTAAAGTAGCCGCCGCGGTGAGTGTGGAGGAATATTGCCTTGCCATTGGTGAGGTAGTTGGGCATGGGAGCGTGTTATCCGCCTCCAGAATGAATAGTGCTGTTGTGGTGTTTCTCAATAGCGTAGATGAAGTCAATGAAGTAGTCGAACACGGAATAGTCATTGGTGGTGATTTTGTCTCTGTTCTTCCCCTTTCATTGCCCGCCAAGAGAGTCACTTTGTCGAATGTTCCACCGTTCGTAAGCGATGAAATTTTGACACAGTCTTTATCTCGTTATGGAAAATTGGTATCTCCGATCAAGAAGATCCCAATTAATAGCGGTTCACCGTTGTTGAAACACATTGTTTCGTTCAGGCGTTTCGTTTATATGATTATTCAGGACGATGTAGAGTTAGACATGACACTCAATTTTCGAATTGACAACTTTGATTGTTATTTTTGTCACCACCGCGAAATCAAAGTGTTTTGGTTGCGGTAAATCTGGACATTTAGTTCGTAATTGTCCTGACAAGGTTGCAGAAAAGGAAGTAAACGCAGTGAATGGGAGTATTGAAGGCGATGGTGGGGCGGATGGTGTTGCTGACACTGATTTAGTTGGGGGGGTGGCGGCTGCAGCGGGTGTTCCCGGTGAGAGTGTTGTTGCGTCGACTTCACTGCGCTGTGAGCTCGGTGTCGGACACGGTGCCCACTAAAATACTTTTAGAGGCTAGTGTTGAAGATTTACCGAGTGTAGCACCGGTTTCTGAAGATCAACATGTTGAGCAAATAGAAAGTGAGAGTAATGCAGTGATTTTGCAAGACGAATGTGTAAAGGATGGTGTGGAGAAAGAACACTTTTTAAAAATACCTTCCAATAAAAGGAAGATAATTGATCAAATGGTTGATGCCAAAATAAGTAAAACGAGTGAAATGCAAGAAAGCATGGACCAAGATACAGAAAGTGATGGTGGGTCTTCTGACTCCAGTGTGACACTTTCTCAGGGGGAGTTTAGTGGTCGGGATTATGAACTTGAGGATATTAAGTTATTCCTCAGATCAACAAAAAATAAAAGAGGAGTGCGCGTGAAGGAATATTTTCCTGATGTTAAACAGTTCGCTGAAAAGGCAAAAAGCTTAATGGCAGAGAGTTGCTTTTCTAATAAAGAAGTCTATAGACTTAAGAAAATTGTGAGGAGTCTCAATACTGCTTTAATCAACGATGTCAGTTAATTTAAAAAAAGAATGGCTGATGTTCTGTGGCGTTTTGGGTGGTTTTTCTTTTCCTTATTTTTATTTATGAGTGAAGTTCATGTAGCTACTTTGAATGTTAATGGGGCAAGAGCTTCTGGAAAAAGAGCTACAATATATGAAGTAATGAAGCAAAAAAATATTGATGTTGTTTTATTACAAGAAACTCATAGCGACTTAAAAAATGCTGCTGACTGGGCAAGGGAGTTTGATGGCATCCCTGTGTTAAGCCATTACACTTCAATAAGTGGGGGAGTAGCCATTTTATTTGCAAAGAATTTTAGTCCCATATCGTATGATGTTGATGAGATAATAAAAGGTAGGCTTTTAAAAGTGAGAGCTGTTTTTGAAAGCAATGTGTTTATTTTTATTTGTGTATATGTTCCAACTGCTCCTGTTGAAAGAATGTCTTTTTTAGACATACTATGTGCAACTCTACATAACTGTTGTTCTGAAGACTTCTTGTTCCTTGGTGGTGATTTCAATTGTACTGAGCATAATCTAGATCGGAATCACATTGAGCCTCATTTGGCTTCGCGTAAACGTTTAATTCAAATTATCAAAAAGTATGATTTATGTGATATTTGGAGATCTTTAAATGGTAATGAGAGACAGTACACTTGGGTTCACACACGTGATAAGGTTATGTCTTTAGCTAGGCTGGACAGATTTTACAGTTTTAATCACCATCTTAGTAATTTAAATAAATGTTATATAACACCAGTAAGTTTTTCGGATCACAGTATGGTGCACTGTAAGCTTATTTTGAGCTCAATAAAACCAAAAAGCGCATACTGGCATTTTAATACTAATTTAAGTGATAATTTTTTTAAGGAGTCATTTAAGTACTTCTGGGATGTTCACAGAACAAAGAGGTCTTCTTTTTATTCATTGCAACAGTGGTGGGATGTTGGTAAGATCCAAATAAGGCAGTTTACCCAACAGTATACTCACAACGTTACTAAGGAGTTGACTCGTTCTTTAGAGCTTTTAGAGGGAGAGATAATTGAATCTCAAAATCTGGCACAATCTACTGGCAAGACACATTATTTAGAAGCCTGTTCAAGGAAGAAAGCTCAGTTAGCTGATCTACTGGGGCATAAAGTACAGGGGGCGCTGGTCCGCTCACGTTTCCAAAGCATTGATCAGATGGATGCACCATCCCAATACTTTTTCAATCTGGAAAAAAAGAATGGTCAGAAACGGTTTATTCATGGTTTGCGCTCCGAAGATGGAGTGTTATTGACAGATCCGGCCGGTATTCGGGGAAGAGCAGTTGATTTTTATAAAAATTTGTATAGGAGCGAGCTTAAGTCAGAGTGTGGTGTTGATAACGTTTTCCTTGACAGCTTACCAAAGCTGTCAGAGGAAGCCAATGATGAGCTTGAAGGGGTGCTGACCCTGGATGAGCTCTATAAGGCCCTGCAAGCCATGAAGTCTGGGAGTGCCCCAGGAATGGATGGCATCCCAGTTGACTTCTACAAGGCTTTTTGGTTGGAAATGGGTGTAGATCTGCTGGAGGTACTGAAGGACAGCTTGTTGAAGGGCGGGTTGCCATTGAGTTGCCGAAGAGCGGTGATCACTCTAATTCCAAAAAAGGGGGACCTTACAGATATCAAGAACTGGCGCCCTGTCTCGCTTCTCTGCAGTGATTATAAAATACTTTCTAAGGCATTGAGTAACAGATTGACTGGAGTGTTGGGTCAGGTTATCCATCCGGATCAGACGTACTGTGTCCCTAGTAGATCAATATTTGATAATATTGCTTTAATTCGAGATATTTTTCATGTCTCTTAAGTTGTTACATTTGGACTGTGGCTTGCTATCTTTGGATCAGGAGAAGGCTTTTGACCGAGTGGAGCACTCGTATTTGTGGAGTACTTTAACAGCTTTTGGTTTTAGCAAAAATTTTATAGACATGATTAGAGTACTCTATTGTGACGTTGAGAGTACGCTGAAAATAAATGGTGGCTTATGTGCTCCCTTTCAGGTTCTCAGGGGTATCAGACAAGGTTGCTCCTTGTCTGGAATGTTGTATTCTTTGGCGATTGAGCCTTTGCTTCAGCAGTTAAGAACCCAATTAAGTGGTTTGTTTTTACCAGTTTGTAATAAAACGATTTGTTTGTCAGCCTATGCCGATGATATTGTGGTGATGATTAACAGACAAAGTGATGTGCAAATTTTATTTAATTTAATTGAAGAATTTAGACTGTTGTCATCTGCAAAGGTTAATTGGAGAAAAAGTAATGCTTTATTATTAGGACAATGGGCTGATGGTAAACCTTGCCTTCCTGATGGGATGGTTTGGGGAAATGGAGGTATAAAATATCTAGGAGTTTATCTAGGGGATGACAGTGTGTTACAAAAAAATTGGGAGGGGTTGGTGGAAAAAATTAAAGGGCGCTTGGAAAAGTGGAAATGGTTATTACCGAATATGTCCTATAGGGGGCGAACTCTCATTGTCAACAATTTAGTGGCATCTTCACTTTGGCATAAGTTGGCATGTGTAGACCCTTCACCACAGTTTTTAACGGAAGTTCAAGCTGCTCTGGTGAACTTTTTTTGGGACAAACTACACTGGGTCCCTCAGAGTGTTTTATACCTCCCCAAAGATGAAGGTGGGCAAGGTTTGATTCACTTACAAAGTAGAATGGCTGCCTTTCGGTTACAGTTTTTAAAAAGGTTACTTGATGGTTCTAAAGATTTCAGTTGGCGTGCTGTGAGTTGTACCATTTTGCACACTATAGGGGGGTTCGGTCTGGACAAATCCCTCTTTTTAATGGATCCAACTAAACTGGATTTATCGGAACTGCCTGCCTTCTATCGAAATCTTTTCAAGGTGATGAGCTTTTTTCGTGTTTATAAGACTGAGAACTCATATTCTCTCCACTGGCTGTTGGAGGAGCCACTGATACTTGGGGCCCGTTTGGACATTGCCATTCACTGCTATTTGCCGGGGTTTAGCAACATTTTCCTGCAATCCAAGGTCTTTACGCTGGGACATTTGTGACATTAACCGGGCCTCAATTTGAGAATGTGGACGCCGTATCCGAACATTTAGGAATCAGATCTGTTCGTTTATTAACTCGTTTTCTGGTCAAACTTAAAGCCTGTTTTACAGGTGAAGAGGAACATTTGTTAAGAGACTATTTTAAAGGAGTTTGTACTCCTGATGTTGATGATCCTTTTCCATGTTTGATTATTCAACCCAATCTTGAAGAGGGTACAGGTTTTTTGCTGCAATCAGGTGAATCTTTGTATTTAGATTTCTTGTCTAGTGAAGGAAAAAAACTGTATAGAGCCTGTGTGTTGGTTTTTAATAAGAAAATGTTAGAAAAGAGAATTAATACACCATGGTGTTCTGTTTTTAGATTGAGAAATGATGTAAAACCTGAATGGAGATCATTGTATAAGCCACCATTGTCTAAAAGGTTTGGTGATATACAATGGAGAATTCTGCATGGTGCCATTGCTGTCAATTCTTTTATTTCGAAGTTGAATCTTGAAGTTAATCCTGCTTGCCCTTTTTGTCCTCAAAAGGAGACTGTTTTTCATGCTTTTATGCATTGTTTTAGATTAGAACCTTTGTTTATGAGATTAAGATAATTGTTTTGTAGGTTTGATGAAACTTTTTGTATTGAGACCTTCATTTTGGGTGTTAAGTACTTTCAGAAAAATCGTTTCACCTGTCAATTGTTGAATTTCATCTTAGGGCAAGCAAAAATGGCTATTTATATTAGCAGGAAAAACAGAGTGGAACAAGAGGGTAGCAATGATGTAAACGTGTGTTTTTTAACTTTGGTCAAATCTAGAGTTTTGATTGATTTTAGGTTTTATAAAACTATGAGTGATCTTTCAACTTTTGAATTGATATGGTGCAGTCATGGTGCTTTATGTACAGTTTGTGAAGGTGATTTGTTTTTTTCTTTCTGAAGTTTTCTTTCGGATGGATTTAATATTGTGAAGAGTTATTGTTAACATTTATTTTGAAGAGATACTGTTATAAATTGTAATTAAAGTTTTTTTCAAAAAATCTCTCTCTCTCTCTCTCTCTCTCTCTCTCTCTCTCTCTCTCTCTCTCTCTCTCTCTCTCTCTCTCTCTCTCTCTCTCTCTCTCTCTCTCTCTCTCTCTCTCTCTCTCTCTCTCTCTCTCTCTCTCTCTCTCTCTCTCTCTCTCTCCTCTCTCTCTCTCTCTCTCTGTAATTTAGCTCCGAGCAGTTTCCTTACACCCCCAGTGGAAACGAGACAGAAGGCCTTGCTGTGTCATCAGAGGTTCCAGCATGCAGAAGGAGACCACTTCACCCTTATTAACATATTTAATGCTTACAGATATGCTAAGGAAGGGCCATGTGAGTGATGCAAAGCACAAAAAGTATATAGCCTATAATAGCCAATGTGGTGAATTAAACAGGACTGTAATATATTGACAAACATATTAATATATAAAGAGTCGATTTCACATTCACATTTCAGACTCTAGTGTGGAACAGTGGTGTGAAGACCATTTCCTTAGTCTGGCTGCTCTTCAGACAGCAGATGCGATACGCTCTGAGCTAACAGAAATACTGAAACGGATAGAGCTGCCAGTGTCCTTACCCGCCTTTGGCTCTAAAAACAACAGCTTGAACATCAAACATGCATTACTAGCTGGCTTCTTCATGCAGGTATGGATATAGAGATTATATACATAATACAGAATAATATTGTACTTTGCACTTTGGAAATGTGCTTTGTTCCTAATGGTAAAAGGTCAGAGTTTCTCTAAAACTGAACAACAAAGAGGATTAATCTCTTTCTCAAATGCACTGTGGTAATGCACAGCAGTGAAAATCAGTGCGCTAATTCTCTTTTAAATTATTGCCTTGGGACAGTAATGTCTGTGATTAAGGCAGATTAGCAAATGGCACAGTGATTTACATATTTAAGTATCTTTAGTGCTCCTAAAACACTGCCTGGGTGCTTTTCTAGTGCATTTTAAAATGTTTAATCTCTGTGTTGGGTTTTCCAGGTGGCAAGGGACATTGACGGGTCAGGGAATTACTTCATGCTAACCCATAAACATGTGGCTCAGATCCACCCACTGTCTGGCTACGGAACCGAGATGAACAAGAAGAATCTGCCAGAATGGGTTCTGTACCATGAGCACACGCTATCAGAGAACAACTGTATCAGAACCATCTCTCAGATCTCCGCACATGAGTAAGTACAAGCTTTGTCTAGACTCTAGAAAACTAGAGGACAGAATTACTACTCACAATGTAAACAACTCCAGCTGCATTTGTTTCAGAGAGTGACTTCATTAGTATTATTATTATTCATTTAGCTATGCTAATTCTGTCAGGTGTGGGGTTAAGGAAATGAAGCGAGGACTCAATTGCAGGAAAAATGGGTTTTTAATAAGTATAAAAAATAAAACAAATACAAACAAAAACTACCCCGAGGGGGAAAACAAGACAGACTTGACTTGGAAAACAAAAGACTTGATTTGACTTGACTGAACTTGGCAACAACATCTAGGCAGGACACAAGAGGTACATTCGACGACGAAACAGCACAGGACTGCAAACACAGGGAGAATGAATAGGGAGAGCAAACAAAGGAGGTAAGGAGGGAGGACAGGTGGGGCAAATGAATCATCAGGTAACAAGATGGGAGGGGCTAGACAATCAACAGGAGAGCACATGGCACAAGGAAACATACATGACAAGCCATGTGCTCACACCAAACATGACTTGAACACAAGCACATGGCCAGTAAAACCAATCACCAGCCATGTGCTCACACAAAACGATACATGAATACACAGCTAATGAAAACACTCATAAGCCACATGTTCACACAAAACATGACAACATTAAAGCACACAGCTAGTGTAAAACACAAGCTGTGTGCTACACAGCACAAAACAACATGAAAGGACATGAAACAAGGCACACAGACAAGACAAAACAGGAGTGTCAGGGCTCTGTCACAAAACCAAGAAATAGACTAGACAGAAGTGACAGAACCCTGACAAATTCTCAGAAACAAAAGCTCCAAAGTGACTTGAAAGAATAAGTACTTTGCTGTAGTTAATGCTTGTGATGGAGCAAATGTATCTCATGAGAAAAGGTTTTGTATTAATTCGAACAATTTGAATCATATGGAAGCAGACAATTTTTAGAAAAAAAAGAAAGCAAGAAGGTCCAACCCTCTACCCCCAAACATATAACCGTAAGCAGACCATACGCAGACTCACTAATGAGATCATATGAATTAGCCACTAATTGGCCAAAACGTATAATAGTTATGAATTGCCATGAGTGTCTGTTGGTAACACCACAACACTGAAAGAGGAAAAAGGCTTAAAAGGGATAGTTCACCCTAAATGAAAATTAAGTCATAATTTACTCACCCTGGTGTTGTTCTAATGCCGTATGCCCTTTTTTTTTCTTTTTAATGGACCACAACAGAATAATTTTTCTTAAAATGTCCCGTTCGCATCAAGTTTTTAAAAAAAGAAGCTAAAGTGTCACAGAATGATCCCATGCGACACGTGTTGTATATTCAACTATCCCTTGAACCTACAAGACCACCCTACTTAAAAAGATTTAATTTGATGTACAAAGAGCTTAAATAAATATGTAATATAAAGTATTTAAAACAAACAAAAAAATAAATATACAGTAATATAACCAGTAAAAACAAAATAAATAAAAAAACGAAATGGAACTAAAATAAGAAACATAAAATGCATAAAACAGCAGAGTTGGCACTTGTACTTTTCAATGTTCACGTTTTATTTATTTTTTAATTTGTTTTTTAATATCTTCCCTTGTAAAACCTTAATTGCCAATTATTTTAATTTAAAGCATGCATTGAATTATAAATAATCAGTCATTACTAATGTAATAATAACAATAATTTAATTTAGCTCAGTCTCTTAGAACTTCATAAAAAAATATTCATTTCAAATTTCCTTATGAAGCTTTTTAATTTATTTAGCATGCCATTTACTCTTTCTTCCGACCATTTGAGCAATTTGTTCTTCTGTGCATTGTAATTTTATTGTTTCTTTGCTGTTTGCTTGTGACAGGTTCATTCAGATGGCACCACAGTACTTCTTCTATAACCTGCCACCTAGTGAGAGTAAAGACGTACTGCAGCACATTATAGATCATGGTTCAGCTGCCCCATCTAAAGGCATAAGAAAATCCCAGACCCCCAGCAGCCCTGCCAGTGAGGAGCAGCCCCATGAGCGCTGTACCATACAGTGACTGGGGAAATGACTGCTGGCCTGCTATACAGTAACCATGGAATGTATGAGGCACAATGAAGAATCTCAATAGACTCACCAAATTAGTTTGATTGATTAATCAATAATGATGAAGAAAAGAACAGATTGTGTAATCTGTTGCTTAAATTCAAAGGGCGTGCAGAAAAACATTTAGTGTGCCCGGGACAATGCTTCGAGGAAATAACAGTTTGTACAGTTGTCTTCTCTCTGCTGAATTTATTACAATTTAAATAACCTACTGCTGTGCAGTAGTTAAGGAGTAAACTGTCATTTATGGTGTCTAAAATGTATTTTATAAACTGTAGCTACTAGTTAGCAGATTTAGCCATGTGCATCAGGATAGTACAATTGAACATTATTTTCCTTTTCGCATTGATTGTGTTTCACATTGGTTTTATTTAGTGCAGCAGAGCTGTAATAGACTGGAATTGTTTTTTTTGTTATTGTTTTTTCCAGTTGTATGTGTATTTATTTGTAAGGCGTTTGTTTAACTACCGGTAATATAATTTTTTTTTAATTAATCTCCACTTCACCTTGATAATTCACACAAAAAAATAATAATTAAAAAATCTTATTTTAAGTGTTTTTGGAAGTGTTGATATTGTATCTCTGATTTTTTTTTCTATAAAGCTCTCATACAGTTTGAATAAAGTCCAAAATGTTCTGAAATGATCTACTTGATTTATATCATATTAATTAAGCTGTTACATGCCCAAATACCACTGCAACTTTAAATATATAATTATGTTTCACATCAAACTAAACACTGCAGTGATGCAAACATCTAGGTAATCATAAAACATAGCAGAAAATGGTAGAAATGTCTTAAAATTAGACACTCCCTGTGGTAAATGCGTTAAACACCCATTTTGATACTGAAAATGAATGTAATAAAAAACAACATGGGTCTAATACTAATTGCATCAATGTTTTAATATTTGCTTTAGTATCGTCACCCAGCTGTTCCAGTTCACTCACATGAAAGATGCAGAGGTGGACGCGACGCTTGCAGTTTGTAAACAACGTCTTTGATTGGTCGACTGAGTACCGACCTCATCCACAACTCACAGACAGACGCGTCGCGTACTTGCAGCGCATACTTTTCCTGATTATCTGATTATGAGAGCGTACTAGTTTGTTGCGTAGCATCACTGGTTGCAACGCCAACGAACGACTGCATTATTAAATCTAATAAGATAAAAAATTATTAGACTATCTGAGTAGCTGTATGTAAATATGTAAAATAGTTTGTAGGCATTTGAGAGCATTGGGAAATGGGCACAGCAAAAAGCAGGATTAAAAAGGCGCACCTACCGGTATGTCAGTGACAGAGGAAACCGTCACTTTTGACTTTGGATGTCTATTGAAAATCAAAAACCCCTGTATTAACCTGGTGCTGTGCTAAAAATCCTTTACCTAATTTGGTGTTACCTTGACCAATCTTGTCAAATTGCTTGTAAATCTCTCATTATGCTATGCAATCACCAAATATTGGATTCAATGTTTTTGTCAACTTCTTGTCTTTCAATTAGCACAGGTGTTTTATCTCTTTATGCACCTCAGTTTTTTAAGTAAAAAAAAGTTAATTGTAGCTTCTTCATCTAAAAACAATGTGGTGCATAAGCTCAGATCAATGAGCCCTATACGGTAGTCAGTTCCAAAAATAAATACAAAACCTGTACTAGTTGATAAAAAGATTGAATAACGAAAGATTTATTTTTTTAGGACGGCTATTTTTAACTGGGAACAAATGTAACACATTATCCCAACGTGATAACATTAGTATTTTAGGGAAAATGAAAATCCTCTCCATGTCAAAGCGGCTGGAACACAACCTGAAGGTTTATATGACATCCTCTTTTTTATTTGTATGGTTAATTAAATTAAAAATAAATATTGACGCATTGTACCTGTATATTTTACAATACTTTTTAGCATTTAAAGATTTTAGTTTCTACTGAAAAGGAAAAGCCCCTTTATTAACTATGAAATCCTCTTTTGTGTTCTTTTTAGAGGTTATGGAATTGGTGGCGGTGTTCTGACGATTCATGCTACCCATCGAGATTTGCTACTTACTGGTTATGCGCATGTGCAGACTCAGTTTTTTTTTAACAAAAGGTAAATTTTCATGTGTTATAAAGTAATTTCCCTTTTAAAAATGCCAACTACCATATGAATATTTGTACGGTCAGTCAGCTGAACAAGAATAACTGAAAGTTTCAGTTACTAAGGAAAGGTGTGCTTTAACAAGTCAAAGATGAATATTTGATGATAACTTTTACTTTTCACACCGTTTTAAAAATAAAAACAGTAGTCTACAGTATACAGTAGCTACTCATAACTTAGAATTGTGTTATAATTGTATTTCATTTAATATTAATCGACATTCTGTGATCGATTCGCGCTACGGTAGCATTTTTCGACAAGGCAGCACAAATCGTCAGAACAGCGGCTTATCTCTGGACTTGCCTATCATGTATGACGCTTCAGAAGAGGACCTCATGAACACAATCGAGAGCGAGTTTAGTTAACGAACATAGTGATCTTCTGAGACAACTATGAAAAGAGAAAATGAGAAGGATTATTGATCACTAGTCACTACAAAGTATTGTGAATCATTTTTATATCACTGATGTTACAGCATTACATTTTTTATTTTAATGCATATATATGGGATATATATATATATATAGGTAAGTCTTGTTTTTTTTTTTTTTTCAATATGCATGCACACGATCCATTACACACTGATTTATAAATCATCAAATATAAAATAGATCTGGGGTAAAATGCCCCCCACCCGTTTTCCCCAAAATAACCACTAGAATGAATCAAGATACATTTTTACTATTGCTATGCACTACGTTGACAACGGGGATATACAAATCTCCATGGAGAAGCTGACACCAGCAACGTATTTGAAGAGAAGAGGATTACATGGAAAATGCTATAATGTTCAGATATTAGTAAACAAGTGTTTAATAGAATATTGTTCACAGTGATATCACAGTAATGTATGATAGATGAATAGTGAAGTCTGTAGTTTGAGAGCATATGTTATTTATAAGGAATATAATTATATATTTTTTTTAAAAAAAAAAAAAAAAAAAAAACATAGCTTGTGGGGTAAAACGCACCCTATGCTGAGGGGTAAAACGCCCCCCAATGGGCATAGTTTCTCTTTATCATAATTACTATAGTAACATATTTCTGTTTATCAAAGTCTTTATTTTACACTTTAATGCAGTATAACTAGGCGATAAAATCAAAATATTTTAACAAAACATGATAAAATTACCTCAAGTGAGCATTAGCTAGCTAGCTTGGTGGATGCAATGATGGAAGGTGGTTAGGTGACCCAATGATAAAATATAGTGACTTTTAGAGCATTTATTGAATATATTTCACTTTAAATATACTAATTTATGTTTAATATTTATTTAGGGTTTTCTGTTTTTCTTGATGATAGTGGTGAACAAATACTACATCAATTATCAACCCCATATAGGCCTAGTGTAGAAATCAAAATATTAAAATGTTAGAAATTTGGCTATTTTGTACATTCCTGAAATAAATATTAATAGGTATATATACATGTTGTTGCATTACTTGCCTTTTACTTTTAGAGATTAAAAACTATGTTTATTTTGCTGTTGATCTATGAAGCAAACTGGTTGGTAAGAAAGGGGGCGTTTTACCCCACCTTGGGGGGCGTTTTACCCCACCGCTGGGGCAAAACGCCCCCTTTGTACAAAAATATTTTCAGTCAAAAAATATATATAATTATGCAGGTTGAGCAATTTTAATATTTAGTAATATTCTCCTGCCATAGTCACTCAAAACTGGGATGGCAATTCTAGTCACATTTATGTTTTGTTTCACAGTAATGTCACATTTTCCTTAAGGGGGGCGTTTTCCCCCACTCTACCCCTATATATATATACAAATTGTTTTTTGTTTTGTTTGTTTTTCGAGATTACGGCTGGTCAAATTAAAAAAAGGAATGGAATAAAACATGTACTTTCTTTTTGACATTTTTTCATATAATATTATTCTGTAAAGCAGCTTGCCTGAGAGAAAAACATATGGAGTGGATAATTTAGTTCCATTTCCTGACCACATTTCCAAAATCCTCCACCCATCTAAGACAGGAATGCACTTCAGCAGTTTTTAGTGACTCCATGGAGGCCTCCAACTACCCTAAACTACGTGGATGTGTTCAGCCAATTGAATGGCCTCCATAATGCTGAATATAATTTCTTTTGAGGCACAATGAAAATCTGCATTTCACAGTTGGAATTAATCAGATATTGTATAGTTTTCTTTCAAATGATTTAGTTCATTTTAGGGAACCTATTAGTAGCTATAGCAACACCAGAAAAACGAAATGGCCCCTGCATTTAATAGATAATTTTATTTATTTTTTTGTCAACAATGAAAGCTGTCAATATTGTTCATATCTGTCGTGAAAATTCAGAGGATGGAGTTGAAAATCTGTAGACATCCTGTAGTCTCACTCTCCTGTCATCCATTCAAGATATTTGTCAACAAACACATTCACAAAATGGAAGAGTAGCTAGATAGGTTTTGAAGCTTGTTTTATCGAGTCAATAGCCTATTTTAAACTATTTTAAACTGCCTGGCCTTTGATAGCAGAAATTAAATAGCACAATATGACGTGTTTATTTTATTACCTTCTCAATAAACGCACCTTTCCGAGATGAAGAAAAAAGACACAACGCAATAAGCCACACGGTATCGCTGTTGCTGCATTCTTGGACAGTCGATTGAAGGCTTCTTCATGGTTGGGGAAAGTCGGTCAGTGAGGCAGGAGGCGGGGCACCGATGTGAAAGCTGATTGGTCCCGCCTCCCACACCTACAGTTAGTCTTGTAATCTGATTGGCCATCGTTTAAACGCAGTAGTATACTGCATATTTTTTATGTTTGACAGTGGTCTGAGCAGTAATTACAGCCATCCGGTCTCAATCTCTGTGGGAACATTAGTATCACTGGAAACCACACGATTTATTCCATGCCTGTGGTGAGCAATAATGAACAAAACGTTTTTTTCTTTATTTTTTGTTGTTGTAATTTCACAATGTCCCTTTCCAAAACTAATATAAGTTGTTGCTCATCGGAACAGCATGTGTTTGGCAAATAAATAAGGCTTTTCGTCATAAAAGTAGGCTACATAACTTACAAAAAAAAACAATATTTATACCTTATAAGAGAAGGAACTAGTAAGGTCATTTATCCAAACATGTCAACAGTCAACTTTATAATAAACTAATGATATATTGTTCGCTCAGAGGAGTTTATTTTAAATAAAGAGTAACTTTGCTAACTTTTTACTGACTTAATGGCTACTGGCGGCGAACAAAATGACTGTCAACTTGCTGCTGAGAAAGGCCTATTAAAGGTGATGCATGAGACAAAATATCCTGTACACAGAGACCTCACGAATCCGACAGGAAGTGATGCATCACGTCAGCAATGTGAGAGTGGAAGAACTGTTACTGCCAAGAGCAGCGGGAAGCAGAACAACAGCCAAAACACTACATCCCAAACCACATAGGAGTTGCTGAATTTTTCTGATGCCACGGCAGATTGATTTTTTAACCTCTAGTGCTTAAAAAAAAAAAAAAAAAAAAATCACAAAAACACACTTAATCTTCATTGTTTAATAAAAAAAGGAGTATTAAATAAATGTATTATATGATAATCACAGTGTAGATAAATATCTATTATCCACATATATATTTTTACATATTTTCTTTTTTCTAATTTTGTGTAGTTTAGCATACATAATACATTTCCATTAGATATGTACAAAAAAAATGAAGAGGAAAAAGTAAGAAATTTTAAGACAAACATAGTACAAAGACTGGCAAAAAGAGTGCATAAATCTTTTACACAATAGTAAACAAAATGTGCGAAATATGTGCAGCAAAGAAGACAGGAGTCCAGTGCATAATAATGTTTTTGCCCATGAGAGAATCAGCAGCCTTGCCCTCATAACATGAGTCCCTGCATAACATTGGTGAGGGTTTAGAGTTCAGTCTCCATCAAAGTCAGTTTGAGGCTGGCAGCAACATGCTGACCGGTAGTGCTGTGCCAGTGGGCAAGGCCTTGGCAGCGGTGATCTTGTTGAGGTTCCGCACCTCTGTTTGCCAGGATGGGATCTTCTTGGTGGTCATGTGTCGCCGTGCATGCTTGGTGAGGTGGTCGCTGCGCATAAACCTTCGGTCACACACCGGGCAGACAAACTTCTTTTCGCCCGTGTGCGTTCGCCGATGCCGAGAGAGCTCATCAGAGCGGGCGAATTTCTTATCGCAGCCTTCCCAGTTGCAGCTAAAAGGTTTCTCTCCTGGAAGACAGAACAAGACATGTTAGATGACCTGCTTGACCTAGACTTTAGAAGTTGAGGCTACATACTGATCATTATTTACCTGTGTGGGTTCTGAGATGAGCCTTTAGGTGAGAACTTTTAAAATAGGTCTTCTGACAACCAGGGAAATTGCAGACGTAGTTGCGCCTGCGGGAAAAGTCGACCTGCGTGATGCTGCTCTGCCCCGAGGGCATGTAAACAGGCGCGGGAGCCAGAGGCAGGAGCTTGGTGTTGCCTAGAGTCATAACAGTCTGTTGGCAGTGTGGAGCCGAAGACACCGGTGACTGGGGCATCACGAACATCACCGTCCCCTGAGGCACCGGAGAGCCCATCAGGAGCGGCTGTGGTAAGATAGACTTCACCCCAGGGCTGGGCTTCTGAATAAACGTCGCTGAGATGACTCCAGGTTGGGCCACCGGGAACATCTGGCATATGATTGGTGGACTAGAGGTTGGGGGCGGTGGCTGAGGAGATGATGTAATGAAGCACTTATCATCCTTAGAAAGAAGTCTGCTGCTGTTTTGGCATGGCGGCATGTTGTCGGTCTGGGGTTGGCAGGACAGGGTGGGTGATGATGATGAAGGAACAGTCTTTTGTGGAATGTTCTGATACAGGGAGCTGTCGGCCGTGTGCCGTATTACGCTGGTTGCCATGGCTCTGCAAGGCACGGGTGTGGTCTTTTCTGTGGGGTCCTGAGTGATGGAGGTCATGGTGGGGCATGCAGATCTCGGGCTGGGGAGGCTGGGACAGGACCGGGTAAGTGGTGAAGGGGAGGCTGGCACTGATGTGGTGTTGGAGGTCTCAGTAAAGCTGGGGCTGTGTGGTGGGGTCATGCACTGCAAGGAGAGAAGACAATCAGAGTTAAGAAGTGTCCAGTATATCAAGGCCATATCGGTTATCAGATTTTTTTATTTTATCTGTATCGATATTGTATATTTAATTGTGCATGCTCATTTCCCCTATTTTTACATTCAGATTACATTTGTTGTCTTCTAATGCACACTTAAAGTTAACCTTTAAAACACTAACAATTTAAATAATTGATTTTTAAGGAGTGCACCAATATCAAAATGGCCAATACAGATACACCGATAATTATTTTCATGTTATGATCGATAAGTGATAAATGGTTGATATAAAAATTGTCAAATTAAATATTTACACAAATATACACAAATTATAAACAATGTACAGAATGAAAAACATTTATATTAATTTTAAGATTTGTATATTTGATTGAGCATGCTCATTTGCCTTATTTTTACATTTAGATTAGCATTTCTCACTTAAAAGTTATTCTATAAAAAAAACACTAATAATTTGTTAAATGTAAGCTTTAGCAAATCTCAAAATAAATATACATTTTTCATACTTTACATTATACTATACACTATACCTAAATTCAAGTATTTGGTTCAAGTACAAACTTTGGTTTTAGTGTTTTATATTTAATTTTCTTAAAATAGTACAGAATTTTAACCATAACATGCAAATAATTATCGGCTTATTATCGTGTCGGCCATCATAATATTGGTGCATCCCTAAAAATCAAGCTCTTTTGCAAACAACTAGTGGAATCTCCTTATGGATGAATGGCTACTCTATTCACTATATCGCAGCTGTACTATTTTGTCCTTTCATCTCTCAGCATCATTACAGCACAGGTGAGTCGTGTAAACACAGTAAAGGAGCCTGTGCTGAAGTTCAGTTTGCAGATGTAGCTTATCTCAAGACTACCACCTGTCCAGGGTGTCATAAAACCTTCCCAAAGTTTTCAGCAAACAAATCAGGTTCTGATAAGCGCTTTGTGCTACGCTGTGCGGCGCCTGAGGTTCCCCGGTGTGAATGTTGACAAATTAAACAGAGCTTGAAGTGTACATATTTTACCTTCTAGCAGATCATTTCAACGAAAGAAGACTCGCTTACCAGTGAAGAGAGCGAGACGAAGTCCCTCGGGGTCTCCAGTGGTTCGGGGGGCGGGAAAGAATCGCAGGAGTCTGAAGCTGGGGTAAGAGGGCGAGGTTTGAAGGTGTTGGGTTTTGGAGACATCTGACTCCAGAAGCTCATGTAGACCAGAGCTTCAGCAGCCTCAAGATCATTGTATTCCAGAACACTGCACGAAGAGTGCTCACTGTGCTTTTTCCCTTCCAGAAAATCCTCACAGTCCTCCATCCGAGCTCCCTGAGAACCACAAACAACAAAACTAATGTAACGTAATGTGTTAAAGATGAAAGAAAACCCTCTGGTTGTTTTGACACATACAGCTCAGCTGCTGGGTGGATCTGAATGAGTCTTTCTCAGTCTTTATCTATTCATGGATCCAAAAGCAGTAGACAGTTTAACAGAGGAGCCCTTTTTAATGCAGCCCGTCTGCAGGGACCCTCTATCACTAGGGCTGAAGTCAACTCCCACTGCCAAATAAAGCCAAAACAATGACGTACTCACAAGCTGGCCATGTGAAATGGCTGTGAGCAAAACTTGAAACCCCCTGATAGACACGGGAGCAGTGCCAGAGGCCAGAAAACTTTGACTGAAAGCTCCTCCAAGCCAATGCTCTTCAGAGAAATAACACCATTAGTAAGCAGAATGCAAAGGTTTTTTTTTTTTTTTTTTTTTTTTTTTTTTTTAATATAAAGCAGTGTCAACAAGGTGCTGCACACCTGATTGAATTCTGCACAGTCTGCATATAGAGCGCAGTATGGTAATCTCAACCAGCCTCACTGCTTTACATAATACTATGCACCGGTGGGATGTTAAAGTGGGTTCCAAAAGACCACTTCTCTTTTGCATTTTTCAAGTTTAAATGAGAATCGTGAATTTTTTTTAAGACTTCACTCTTACCAAATATAATATTTAAAGTTTCATAAATATAACACTAGAAATCCACTGTGAAAATAAATTAACAACAAAAGAGACTAAGGAGAAACATGATAAAAGTGTCTGTGTGTCTGTGTGTGTGTGTGTGTGTGTGTGTGTGTGTGTGTGTGTGTGTGTGTGTGTGTGTGTGTGTGTGTGTGTGTGTGTGCGTGTTTGTGTGTGTGAGAGAGGGAGTGAGTAAGTGTATACACATACATTTAAAAAAAAAAATAAAGGCAAGAAAAGATAATTAAGATACAAAATTGCGCACAATGATTACTTGGTTACCAACTTGAGGGTTAAATGAGGCCAACAGCAATACCGGTGCCCACTAAAACTGAATGTAGACTACAACAGATCCGTATTGTTTACTATACCAGGACCAGTCAACTCGAAGACGGCTACATGTTTTCAGAACTTTACAATGTTATACATTGCAACATTTCTTGGTGATAAGGCAAATACAGTTACAATGTAACATTAAGTAAGAGTTGACGTCATTCGCCTCAGTTTCGTTACCAGTTGAACACAATCAGCAATGACCAGTCAGTGTCAGTAAATCACAAGCAACTCATTTAAAAAAAGATTAATTGTATATTACATAAATATAAATGCTATATAACGAAATATTCCGATCTTACCCCACATAATTCTTCCATGTTAGAAAACTGGCGTGTTGACATCTATTCAAACGTACGAAAAAAATATTAAATGAAAAGTAAAGCAGAACAAAGACATGGAGCTGCTCCGCCCGTTCAGTGACGCGACTCACACCGGAATTCAGTTCGCTTTTACCAGCAGCTGAGTAAAACAAGCCTCCGAAAAAAAGAGAAACTAAATTCACAACAGTCTGGCGGGTGGCAACACGCCACCAATGAAAAACAAATGTGTGTGAGACCTTGGCCAATGGTGTGAAGGCCGGCGCGTGATCAGTGCGTGATAGGCGCGCGATTGGAGGAACAGGGGTGCGTGGCTGCAGATGGGCGTGTGGAGGGAGTCAACAGTGTCGCTGTAAACTCGCTGAACTATGAGAGGACGGAACTGGGCGAAAGGTCGCAGCCTTTAGGAGCCAAATAATAGTGAAACATGTTTGTGCATCTATAGTCAGCTTGAACAGGTAACGGCTAAACACACACCACGAGGAGCCAAATTAGCTTAGCAGGCGCGGAGAAGCAAAAACAATAAGTCATACTTACAACCAAGTTTATTAATAACATTGACGTTTAATTGGTAACACTTTACAATAAGGTTCCATTTGTAACATTATTGTAACATCAGTTAACAAGAACTAACAATGACAAATACTTCTAAAACCTTTTTACATTTTAGGTCAAGTTAATTCCAACATTTACTAACACATGAAGTTGTGTCTGTTGATGATGTAATGAACAGTTGTATTTTTATTAACAAGGTTAATAAATAGGCTACTACTGTAACATATTTACGGATGTATTGCTAATTTTTAGTTAACATAATGCATTACCTAACGTTGACTAGTTAGCCTCGTCGTCATTCAACAATCCTTATTGAAACGTGTTAACATTTAATTTAATAACATTAAATAAATGGTTTTAATGCAACCGACATGATTATGGGGTGATGACAAATTGGGATTAGTTGTTTAAACATCAAGTAAGAAGAATTTAAATGCTTTCCTTGCACACTGAATACACTTATGATCTATAATGTTTTAAAAAAGGTTTTCACGTTTTTCCCCCCACTGTATTTCTTTTTTTTTCTTTTTTTTTTTAAATCAACCAACTAGTTTTCTTAAGGTTACTTTAAAAATAGCAACATATGTGCTATTTTATACCTCATTCACTTTTGACACAGTTTGAAGCGGGTTCTCTTTGTTTTATGGTTTTCTGCTTTTTAATACGTTTTTTTGTTGTTGTTATTATTTCTGCTCTCCAGATTGCCTTTTCAAAGTATTTGTGAACAAATTAATAGATAATTTCCTAACATGACTGCACAAAAATGTGAATTCTAAAAATGTGAACAGTGAATTTCCATCACTTTCCAGATGTAAATAAATACGTACACATAAAAAATAACATTTTATAGAATATTTTGAATGTTTTAATCTAAAATATTTCAACTTATATTATGAACACGATTTTATTAATTTCCAGGCCTGGAATTTAACAATTGTTTCCTGTAGTATATAGATTGTGCAATGTAACAAATTGTGAAAACACTTTAGGTTCAGGACAGAATGTTTATAGTCTTTATAGTTTACTCAATATGTAATGCACAATACTGTGTGCTACTACAATAAACATTCTTACCTCAATCTCTAGTCTGATCTGAACCCATTTAATGACCTTTAAAAAAACAACAATAATTATTGGAGTTGTAAGGTGGATGTAACCGACTTTGTTTATAATAATGTGTCTAAAATCCTTTTATCTAGCTTGAATTCATAAGTGTTTTAGTCACACCCTCTCTGAGAGGATGGGATTACACTAACTCTTCATTTGTCTGCCTTTATAAGCAGTGACATTTAAGTGAGTCAATGTTCAACGAAGTCATCCTGGAAAATGTCAGGACGTTCTGATCACAGTTCCTGCAGGTGATAGATGATGCTGTAAAAGTGCCATAGATGAGATGGCTATTGGTTATTCTTTGAAAGAAAAATCTGTTCAGGGAATATCTTTTTTAGTCCCTGCTAGAAATACACACTGATACTGAGACACTGAGCATGAATGCTGTCAGGGGTCCAACCGTCCAAGCTTGTTATCTCGACCATAAGCCATTTAGCAGTCATTTTAGTTATAATTTAATTACTTACATTATGCTTGTGTCTTTGAAGAGAATTTCCTTAAAGAGTGTACACTTAAAAAATTAACATTCACTCACCCTTGTGTCGTTCCAAATCCGTATGACTTTATAATAATTTTCTGAAGAAACATGAATGCTCAAGCATGCTTGCTTGATGTGCAAGAACCAACGAGGTTCATTCTTGTGTGTTATGCAGCACGTTTGAGCTTCCGCAAGAGCCAATGAGGTTTGTTCTCGCATGTCAAGCAAGTACAGTTGAGCTTCTATTTATGTTTGCTGATCAATGCTTATATGTGGTTGAGTAATTGATGACAATATTTTTGGGGGTGAACTAACCCTTTAAAATGAAAGATATGAATGGAAACATGTTATGGTGGTTTCTACACCCCTAAATTGCATTATTACATTATTAAAGTCACTGAAATATTCAAGAAACAATATATTCCAATATTCCAGCATGGAGGCTCATCAGTTGGTCCTATGTGACAGAGTTTCCTGAATTAATGGTAATGGCTCAAATAAGATGGTAATGTCATCATGCCATGTTTAAACGTATTAAGATATATTAGGATTAAAAGAATTTAAAAAGGATCGTTGTCATAAACTACTAATTAGAGCTTATTAGTTAGTAAGGTAGTTAAGTTTAGGTGTTGGGTAGAATTAAGGGATGTAGAATATAATGCAGAATAAAGCATTAAAATGTGGTTTATAAGTACTAACAGCCAATATCCTAGTAATATGCATGCTATAAGCAAGTTTATAGTGAGAATTGGTGCCAAAGCTAAAGTGTTACCAGGAAAAAAATGTTGTATCGTTGTTAAGCCTTTAGCTTAGTCTTTATGATTTTAAACTTTTGCCTTAATATTTGAATAAACATTTTATTTCCCAAAAAAATTCAAATAATTCTAATTACCCCCCTTACGGTGCGTTCACACCGGACGCGAATAGCGCGTCAGGCGCGAGTGATTTCAATGTTAAGGGTGCGGATCCACTTGTCCGTGCGACACTTCTGTTGCGCCGCGCTCCACTTTATTCCTATGGATGACGTCACGCGACTTTAACGCGCCCGCAAAGCATCCCGGGAAGGCGGCGCTTCATTTGGAAAAATGCTGCGTGTCAAAAAGCTGGCCGATGCCCATCTTTATGCAAATGAATTCCGTTGGCTCAAAACCACACCCATAGCGGTAAACTTGAGGAACGCCCATCAAAGTACAAATGTGGGGAGGCGTCGCGACACCACGCTACAGTCGTGTCGCAAAAGTGGATCTCTACCGTGAGTCAATGCAAAGACGCGTTACGCGCGTAAAAAATTCCTGCGGCGCGAATGAGGCGTAGAGCGCGGCGCGGTAGACGTGAATACGCCTCATTCGCGCGTCAAGTTCGCGCAAATGGCGCGAATTGAAGCGTCTGGCGCGGAAGCGCGTTACGCGCGAATGATTTAGTTAGTGCTATTTGTGCATTCACGCGTTTTCGCGTCTGCCGCCCGAGTTGAAAAATTTGAACTTCTGCGTCAATTCGCGCCGCGTTAACCAATCAGGAGCCTGCTTGCTGCGGTCACGTGGTGAAGTGAAAGTTTATGTTATTTTAATAAACTATTTTGTAATATGACTAAAATGTCTGGTGTGGTTCTAATGCACAACAAAGCAAATCTTTCACATAAAATCTCGATTTTAATATATGAGAGATAGTACTCATTTTGTATTGAATGCTATTTATTCCATATCTATTTTAGATTATATGAAACATTATTATTTTAATGTAAAAACAACAAACACTTAGTGTATAATAAATAAAAAAAAATCACAGGACAGGTTTCACTTTTGGAGGCTGGCTCCATTTATTATCAAATAAATGTGTGGGCGAGGGTGAACCTCTTGCCGGGCTGTAGAGCGCGAGCTCGTCAGGCAGCGACCACTCGAGGC